TTGCCTCGCCTCGCCTCGCCTCAGCTTTCTTTCATTTATTTTGCTTTATTCCGCGCCCTGCAGATCGCATGCCACGCCCATTGCTGCTGCTGCTGCTGCTTCAGCATACAAGTGGCAAATAAATTCATTAGTGGCACAAATTAGTTGCATGCAACAGCAGCCCAAAGGAGCCACGGTCAGAGCTTGTACGAGGTTTCAGCTGATTCCAGCAGCTCCCATTCGAAGTCGTAGTGCCATTCCCCCTCTCTCTCTCTCTGTCTCTCTCTCTCTCTCTCTCTGGAATCCCCTTTTGAACGCAAAAGGACACAAAAGTGCTTTTAATTTCAATTAAGTTTGCCACTTCCATTGCCTGCAACACTTGCAGCTGCAGCTGCAACTGCAGCGCCTGCTGCCTCTACCACCCTCTCTTTGTGTCCCTTTCTCTGTGGGTGTGTGTCGTGTGCTTTCTGCTGACTCAGGGGCACATTTAAAGCCCATTTAAGCGCTCGTTTCGCTTCTCCATTTAGCCTGGGAGCCTGATTAAGAAATCAAAGTATTTGTCAGATACTTAATCTATCGTCAGACGTTACAGTTGTTTAAACAGTCAAAAGGAAAATGCAAGTAGATGTAAGGGAAAAACACTGCAAGAAAATGCGTTTAACTGCACTGAACTGTAATCGGTGAAGGGGCATTACTCGCATGGAATCATGATTGAGGGATGTCTCTACGCACACTTGAAACAGTTCCCTCAGTTCTGTGGAGCGTACCTTTGCTGGTAAACCGTAAACAGACCCGAAAACAAGCGTCACACCCAAAGGCAGGCAGGCAGCAGCCGCCAAAACAATCAACAGGGAAATTACAAACATGTGTACCGTTCCCCAACACACCGCCGCACTGCCACCTTTACACTCTACCCTGCGCCCCCTGGCGCTCCACTGTATCTTTCTTCCCTTCTGCCAATTTCTTCCGCTCTTTTCTTCTGCCTGCTTTTCTCCCTTTATTCCGTATACATATGCATATTTGTGTTGCGCTTCCTTTTCCGCTTCCACACAAAATAAAATAAGGCGGAAAAACCCCACGAAAATATTTAACAAATATGTGTGTGTGTAGGCGTGGCAGTCACGTCCCTCCTGCTGCTGTTGCTGCTGTTAAAATGTACTTTAAAAATCACTTAACGCATTTAGCATTGATTTTCTAGCCATCGTTTTATCTCCTCTTACGCTTTATTTATTTCGCAATATTTTTCGCCATGGATTACCCTGCTGCCACACACCATGTCCCCATGCCACAACCACAGCGTACAGCGTACAGTCTGACACATATGACTGATCAAAAGCATCTTTGAAGCAACAAACACATCATTCACGGCCCATTAGAAAACTGTTATTAAATTCAATTGAATTTTTGTTCCTTTTTTTTGTTGTAGCCGAATTTGTGTCTTTATTTTTGTTTTATGTAGAACCAAAATGAAATTTCGAAATTTTAATGAGCAATCAACGAGAGGAAAAAGGAAAAAAAAAACCGGAAAATAATAAACGTAAATGGAACCCCACGCAGGACTCTGAGGCTCCTAGGACTCCTCTGCGCAGACAGAAAATAGACTCCTGGAGAAAAAACAAAAGCAAACAAAATCCCCCTGAGAATGTTTAAAGTAAATTCAAATTTAATTAGAATTTTTTAGGTTTATTTTTTTTTCGTTTTTTGGGTATTGTTTTTTGGGTATTTCCTCATTCAAGTCTTAGGATTGGGGGTGGAAGAGTGAGTGGGGGGACATCACGCCCCAGTGGACTAAATGTAAATGAAAATTGACGCAGACGCAAGTTTATTAAAATGGGATTTGCATAAGCATATAGAAGTGTGTGGTAGGGGGGCTGAGGGGGGTTGCTTGGGCAGCCAATGAATATTTTTTGGAGGGAAAAACTCCCTGCTGTGGGGCAAAAAGTGTGTGGCATCTGTGGCAATGAAAATGTCACAAAAGTCAGAAGCGAGAAGGCATTAATTTTTCTCCGTTTCCATTTGGGGAAACTCAATTAAAAGTGAACCCTGAACTCTTCTGACCCTCTCAACAGGTGACAAAAAAGCAAAAGGAATGAGCCCATTAGCTGGGTCATCAAGTTGGTCAAGTGTTTTGGGCCCCAAGTGGCAACGGGGTTGCCCATTCCGATATTGATCTCTTGAGAGATCCATTAAGGTACTCCACTTCACTCCACTTCGCATTCCATTCGCTCTCCCTTGCTGATTATAAGTGCCTTCTTTTTCCTTTAATTTCCGTTTTTTTCGGAGGGGAATAAATTACAACAAATTTTGCATCTCATTCCGAGCAGAGGCAGCAGCAGCCGGACGGAGAATTATCAGTGCTTTTCCACTAGCCATAGAAATTCTAAAATGGCTTCAACGCCATTCAACAACTGCTGACAACAACCTGTGATATTCACCGTATTATATGCTTCAGCAGAAAGAGAGAGAGACAGAAGGAGAATGAGAGCAAAGGCAATGAGTGTGGTGTGGTACGGTGTGGCATGCGGTTCAATCAATGCCCCTTTGGCGCTTTTTAATTGCTTAGCCGATGCACACAGAAAGGAGTGTGTGTCAGGCAACAATTGCCAGCAGCTGCACCATCCGATATCCGCTTCGAAGAATCAATTGAAAAGCCACTGAAAAGGGCCAAAATACAGCATAAATTGACGTTGATCCACCAGCTAACAAAAAAGAGAGAGAGAGGGAGCGAGGCAAAGCGGCAGCAACAGAATGAAATATAAAACCAAAGTTAAAAAAAAAACTCGAAATTGAAAATTGTTGTCAACGTAAATTGAGAATAATTATATTTAATTACACGAATGCAAGTGCATGCAGCAACCGTTGCAACGGTATGCGGCAGGGAAATGTGTCATGCGAAAGTCAGGCCAGGAAGAAAAGTTTATTTGAGCGGGGCAGCGAGGAGAGTGCAAAGTGCGAGTGCGAGTGAGATTGCGATTGCACATAAAAAATGCATTAAGCAAAACAACATTAAAATTAACTTAAATGCCATATGCGAGTAGATTGCATTTGACATAAATAACCCAAAAATTATGTACAGTAAACCAGAACTTTGACCGGCTCTAAATTCTATAAAGGAAATGGCGCTAACGGAACCATTCAAAAAAATGTATTAAAAAATACCATTTAAAATAAAATTAAAATAAATAAAATAATAATAAAATAGACAAAAAAATTGCGCATAATTCACATAATTACCAACAATAAAAGTTATACCTAAAAATACCCTGTATTGCCAATTTATGTAAAAAAAATAATCACTACCTTATATCTAGAATGATTTTTAAGACGAAAAGGATACAAAGCTTCCATAGTGCGTGATCTTTGAGTCGAATGTGGGTGCATTAATGTGGTTGTTGGTGCTGAGAGAGCGTAGAAAAAACGACCGAAAACATTGCAGAGAGAGCAGCAGATCAAGAGATAAGACAACTGCGACTTCACTGCGATCAAAACGAAAGAGAAGAGTGGGTCGTCATTTGTGGCTGGTTGTTCGATGGAAGTGGAGAGAGAGGGAGAGGGTTTGAGGTAATTTTGATGAGAGAGCGACCGGCTAATACAAAATTAATTAATATTTGAAACTAGATTTGTTTGCAGATGCCTATAAATGTTTTTAGCATTAGATAAATATTTGTGTTGTTGTGGAAATATGCAAAATTAATTGGAATTTGTTTGTAGTTACATGGGATTTGTACGGTCATACGATATGGGCCAAAACCAAAGCACAAAGCACAACAATCCCACATATATCCCCCATCTAAGCCACAACATCATCAAATGAATCTAATTTCACACAAAAATAATCATTGCAAGGCTGCTGCTCTCATGCTGCTTCACTCCTCTAATTGCCACTCGATGTGGCACGATGTACGACAGAGAGAGAGAGAGAGAGAGATCAAATTTAAATGTAAATTAATATTTCTACCTTTAACCAGTCTACCATCTGCCTCCTGCCCTCCTGCTCTGCCGAATCTGAGCTGCAAATTTGCTTCATTTACATATTTCAGGTACACTCGTATCTTACAGATACTTTCCCCTCTCCCCACTGCCGCTGTTGGAGTTTGCAATACAAACTAATCATTTCCATCAATAATTCAAATTGCATGAAGCCAGCGGCCGCCTCCTGTCTGTCACCCACTAATTAACGATAAGTCCATTTGTATCTGAACTTTGAACTGAACTGCGAACCCGAGTCAGGAGTCTATTCTCGAATTTCACAGAAATTTCCTTGTTTGCCAAAAATTCGATGCTAAAAAGTACATTTGTTTGCTCAATTTTCATTTCGTTTCATTTTCGGAAATTTGTGGCAAATATTTGACAATGCAATGCGCAAATTGCCGTTGGGTGTCCTGTCTGCCACAACAAAGTACATAAAATATTTTCGGGGGATGGGGTTCAAAGGGAAAAACGGAAATTGTTTGATTTGTTTGGGGAAAATGCTAAAGGAAAACGATTTTTCCACATTATTTATTAAGATTTTAATCAAATAGTGGAAAAATTTATTTATTAAAGCATACTTATATTTGTGTTTCTTTCTAATGAAAAGATTTTCGAATAGAAAATTTATAGATATTTAAATTCTTTATATTTCTTCAAACTTCTATTCCTGTTTGGTAGATATCTATCCTAAAATCAATAGATTTTAATGCATACATCATCTACTTATATGTATATGTTCATATTTATCCATGCTCTGTCTAGTCTCATTTTGTAAATTGATTACATATATATTTTCATTCAATTTACCCATCAAATTATCTCTCAATCTTACCGCAAACTCAATTATTTCCTAGTTAATTTTCTCCTTCCACGAAAACCACCCATTCCCGCCCCAAACTAAATCACAGACTGATTAACCTTTCAATCGAGTTACCGAAGAACACTCTCTCTCTCACCTTAACGATTGACTGAACTGTTGCTGCTCTACTTTTGGCCAACAAACTTCACGGTGGCAAGTTCTTCTACTTTTTGATCACTGTGTCACTTACCCGGGAAAAACTTTCGCTGCAGCGATGAGACAGAGGGAGAGCAACAAATCCGCCGCAGAAACTCACACGCAGCGAGAACTCACTTCAAAGTGCAAATTAGTTTTGGCTTTTTCCTTAGGTTTTTTTCTTTTTTCACTCGTTTTTTTTTCTTCTTTGGTTTGGTTTTGCTTGTCTGTTTTAGTCACGTTCTAAACTCTTTTCGGCTCTGGCTCAATAAATTAGCAGGAGTCCCCAAATCCTGTGGCAATGGGTGATGTCCTTTTTTTCACACACACACACACACACCACAGAGGAGGTGGAAGCGCGGCTGAGTATTAAAAACTCATTAAGCGAACCGTCGCAGGAGTCTTGTGAGTCGTTGAGTCTGTGCTATTCTCTATGCTTTTTATGCTCTTTTTTTAATTTATGCAAATATCGACCGCAACATACACAAACGCACACACATATGCAAACCGGAAGTCAGCGGAGAAGAGGCTCTTCCTTCGTTGGAGCTGCCAAAAAGTGTGCTACGTCTCTCCTTCCTCTTTCCTTTCCTTTCCTTTCCTTTCCGTTCCTTTCCTCTTTCCTTCGTTCGTTTTTTCTGGCGAAAGTAAATCGAATGTCAACCGCACACAGACGCACACACACACATGCAAGTAGAACACTTAATCAAAAGCACACACACACACACACAGGACAAGAGGAGGTGTGTGCGAGTGTGGGAGGGCACTGTCTCCTGTCAGAAACACACGTGCGATACGTGACCTAGCCCAAGCGTTAAATTCACGCGCCAATGTTCATTCCCGTTCGGATTTGACTTTGCTTCTCAGTTCTCAGAGACCTTGCCTCATACACAGTTTGTGGCGCTTTGCTTTTGGCTTGACTCTGCCTCTGGATTTTGCTTAAGGACGAGATTCCTGTAGAAAGATTCACCCACACAGATACACACAGACACATATACACACGTGTCGACCAAATTCGCTTAGGACAAACTGACGACTGATTCTGTGCCACACGGCGCTGGCCAGCAAGTTGGCCAAAAACTTCGTTCTGGCAGTGGCTGAGGCAGGCACTCGGAGTAGCCGCAGCAGCAGCAGCAGCAGCAGCGGCAATCATCGTTTTCGCTTCGTGGCCGTCGGTGGCCCATCCTCGTGCCTGGGAGCCGATGGGCTCCCACTGCTCCTCCAGTGGCCAAAGAGAGCACGCAAGCGAAAGAGAGAGCGCGTAAGAGAGCGCAGCATGTTCCATTTGCCAAACGTTCCGCCGCGCGCGAGAAGCGCAACTAGTTTTGAGGCCGACGCGTCGGCTGGAAGGCACAACCGAATGTGTGACATTGGAAGAGTGGCTCCCCCCAGTTGAGTGAACGCGAATTTTCCGCATGTCCCACAGCATTTCTTTTATATCGCCCTCTAGATAAAAACCGCCCGTCCGTTTTGTTTGCCCAATTAAATGCCACATATGTCATATGCACAAGCATCCCCACAGCCTCCAACTCCAGCCCCAGGAGCCCCACTCGCTATCTCCCTTTTTTTATTCGCTCAATGCAGTTTTTTAATTAATCATTAATAGGAGCCACGCTTGGGTGGAAGCTAAAGCAGACGGCAGGCCCCTCCTCGCCATACGGAATCCAAAATTGCAATTGCCCTCTGCCCCAACAGTGCCTTTGATATGTCCGCGTACGCGGCTGGCACTGGCTCTGGCTCCAGCCGCAATTAGCAAGCGGCACAGTCCCACAATTACAGGCCTGGTCCCAGCAGCAACAGTGAAAAACACAACCAGATCACGTACCCCATGGTATCCCCCATGGGTCGTGGAAATGGCTGAAATGCAAAGAATTCCAAAAACAAGTGAGACGACATTCCGGCTATAAAATCTGTATGGATTTAGCTTTTAGCGTTTCCAAGATCTCAACGTAGAAACAATGTTTCTGTTTCTTTTTCTGGAAAATACAAATTTATAATTTCAGGAAGCAGTATTTTTCCTTTTCTTTTAGCTTCTGCTGCAAGCGCACAGAGTCAACAGAGGTCGGGGCCTCTGTCTGCGACCTCTGTGCAACTACAGCGCCACTCTACGCCACATACATAGCCCCTGCCACATGGCCGGATGGTGGAAGTGCAGTAGTAAATACAATTTACTTCACTCGGTCGCACACATTCCGGTTCCGCATAATTTTATTGGCCCCTGCCTGCCTGCCTGCTTGTCTGCCTGCCTGGCAGTGCAATGAGATGCGTTTCGTTGACTTCGATGACAGCAAACAGAATCAACAGTCCCTCAGCAGCGACAGAGGCGGCGGCAGCTCCAGCTCCCTGCTCCCTGCTCCCTGCTCCCTGCGCTGCGTCTCTCCATTCTAATGAGATATGGCCGAGGGCGTGGGGGCATGGCATGCATTTTTCCAACAGTCCCCCAACATTTGCAAACAGCGAACGGATGGGCCCAACCATATGCCAGATGCCATATGCCATGCCATAGCGATCCCTGCCGCCAGTGCCCGAAGGCACTTATGTTTTGCATATGAAATCGTGCACATAATCAGCTGGGACATCGGGAAGTCAGCCGCCGCCTCGATCCCTGGTCGGGACGAGTGGGACGATTGGGACGATTGGGCGGTTGGGGTCGCGGCTCGGTGTGCGATTGCAGGAATGCTAATTAGGCGTAATTCGCATAAAATTCGCAAACAGTGGCTGTCACTGGCCCTGCCATCGGGAGTTGCTCTCCATTGAAATTGTCCCCAAAGCGGAGGAGCAACTTTTGATAATGTACTCCGGGTACGGCACTCCAAAAGGCATCACTCTGCATGCCCAGTGGCTTTAATTTCTGCCAGTGTTGGGTTTCACTTTTGATAACATTTGCTATACAAGAGATTATTGATAAGAACAACACAAGATTCCCATAATCAAAAACCCTACACTGAGAAGAAACTTAACAGCGTGCTCTTAAGATTAAGAAGAAAGCAGTTTCAAAAGAGTAAAGAAAAAACAGCAAAGATCAACTCTTTTTTGCTCTCATACCTTAGGCGACGATTCCGCGTTTACGTAAGACGAAGAAACGCGACCGAGACACTACGTAAGTGCGTGACGATTTCAAACAAACAGAGCCAAACGTATACGGGACTGGGAGACTTTTCTAGCACTAACAAAATATATGATACACTTTTCACATTACAATTACCTCACTTCCCCACGCTGTTACGTACAATCCGGTTTCTTCTTTCGATTTAACCACAGAATCGGATTCTCCTGAGGGTTTCGCTCGGTTTGTTCTGCCCTCTCCTACTCCTCGCGAGCATGTATTTCTCCTCTTGAATGTTTGTTGGAGTAGAATGGTGGGTAAATGAAGTGGAGTGGAGTGAGAGAGGGTAAAAGTGATGTTGCCTGCACATTTCCTATTGAATACCAAATAAATAAGATCTTATTAATCAGCTCTGTTTATTGAGTATGTATTCCCCTAGCCGAAGTGCATATTATCTTGGTATAATCCTTTCCAGGTTGCTCACGGTAATTAAACACTAAATTCATCAACGGAATTCCCCCAACAGAGTCGCGTTTCGGGGAGCATTTATCAGATTCGAATTGAGTTTGGTCATAGTTTCCACAAGACAGTGGGTGGAAGGGGGGCCATGATTTACTTGACGCAAGTACTCAGCACTCCCTGCCACTACCACCCAACACCACCGGGGGCGGAGGGGCAACTATTGTTAACTACTTTGGGGCAAAAACGATTCCTTGGCCGCTTCCTTCCTGGGAGGCGACCGCGCTGAAAGGATTTCAATGTCAAACCGCAGCTGTTATCCTGCCGTGGGACGCGACTTGGGACGGATGGTCCATTACATTAAACCCACGGGCTGCGCATCAAGTTTTCCCGGGGAGGCACGGCGACCACAAAAGCGACGAAAATGAAAATTCATGAAAGTTTATCCACCGCCGCACTCCAATGGAGATGTTCGGCTCCACTTTTGTGGTCAATTAACGGCCGTTCGCCAGCCTCAAGTTTGTTTTTGTCGTAATGAATTTAAATGACCCACTGCGGCGGCCGCCATCAAGTGGCACAAAGTGTTTTCCAACAGAGAGAACGAAGCGGAAGGACAGCCAGCCGACTGACTAGTCAGCGATTCCCCCTCCCAAACAGCTTCCAGCCACCAACAAGCCTCCAGTCCGCATTCAGACAGACGGTCCTGCCCCAAGCGGCAATGCCTTAAGTCCCTGGCCCCCAGGACCGCACACATTGTGACAGCACCTGTCGCCGAAAAATTTTCAACAATTTAGCTAATGACTTAGCCATGGAGGCGGATACGAAGTGAAGCAGGGCCAAGTCTGTGTGTAAATACAAAATTAATTATATGCCATGCAGAGAAATTAATCAACCAAAACCAGCCACACTTTCCCGCTGAACTGAACTCTATTTAACCCCAAAAACAAGACCAAACAACCGCCGACACCGCCCCCCCAAAAACCCGCTCAGGTGTGAGCCAAAGTCCTGCCCAGCTGGCGGCCATTTAATTAATCACACTCAACACTTAACAGAAGTCTGGGCCAGTACCTGGACTTGGGCTCGAGCTTGGGCATCGCGAGTGGTTTTGAGAGTGGGGAAGAGTTAAGATGCCTAGCATCCCAATTTTTAACAATAAATAAAAGTTATCTTCTTTTTGACATATTAGCTTTTCCTTTTTTTTTTTCTTAAACAAATCTTTTTTTTCCACAGTTTTACAGTAAAAATTACATTTTAAAATTGTTTTGATTTTTTTTTTAATTTAGCTGGCATTAATTAAATATTTAACTGGTAAAAATTTAAGAAGAGCTTTTAATTTTTGTTGTTTTTTCCCCTATTAAATGTTAAAAAAATACCATATGAAAATTAAAAAAAATTTACTTGAAAAACAGAAAAAAAATACTGCAAAAAAAACGTACACCATAAAAACAAAAAAAAAACGTTTAGCTTTTTTTGCTAAACGTTTTTTTTTGTTTTTATGGGTTAAAAACTTGGCGCCATCTACAGGGGCATTTTGGTAGCAATCAGATTTTGCCACCTGGAATTCAATAAAACACCTGAAACTTGGTTTTTATAGCAAGTGGCTCTCCATGATGTCATACTAGGTAGCCGCCATACTAGTAGCCTGAACACTAGAGCGCGTTTGCGTGTAAAAAATCTCATGCCTAAAAGTGTGCAGCAGGCAAGTACTCATCTATGTAGCGCAAAATTGAGCATTGCTTTGCTATTTTGATACCTCATTTACTGATAGTATTATTTAAATTACTACCATTTAGACAAAGGACTCTATCAGGTTCCAGGATCACTCGAGTCTGTTCTGGTGTACACTTGGCACCATTTAGGCGTTAAGTTATGGCTGCATTTGAGGCGCCGCATTAAAAAAAGAGCCACAAAAAGATCACTTTTTAGTCGCGCGTTAGTCAGGCAACAGCTGTATCCGAACGGACGACTCGCGCTGCGATAAGATCGGTAATTTCAGGTGTTACTCCCCCTAATAATAGGGAATCACCAGCCAAAATACACGTCTCGTTTTTTTATATATATTTGACATAAAAGTACATTAAAAATGTGGGCCAATTTTAGCTGAAATAAAAGAAAAAGTTGAACCTCCACGCAGCAAAGTGTATGGAGCAGAGTGTATGTGTGTGTGTTTTGGTAAAGTGTGTGATAAGATTAGACATGCGGGTAACACTGTGACGCTTTGTGATAACAGTTGGGGCAGTTACAGGGGGCTCAAAAAAGTACATTAAACTAAATTGTTAGTCATTTAATCCGGTAGCAGTGTAGTTACACATGCACATGTGTGCCTCCTACGTGCAACAAGGCTTCTTTCTGCCTCTCTCTGTCAGTGCCTATGAACCTAAAGATATCTGGGAAGCATGTTAACTTAGGGCAGATAACGTTTGTATTCTTGAAAGATATCTAAATCGGTGCATATATGTACATATACGATGGGATAGTAAGAATGACTATAATGAAAGCTCTAATAGCCGTGCAACAAATGACAATAATTAGAAACCATTGACCGCAAATAAATTATGATAAAAAAAAGCGTGTCTGTATGTATTCCACAGGAGATATGCTCATATGAGCAGCTTCCGGCTTTGGCAGCAATTTAAAAAAAAAAAAAGAAATGAACTGTTGTCCAGTCGGGAAATTATATATAAATTGAGCCTACGGCCTGCTTTTGATATTTGTTGTTTCTATTGTTGATTGTATTATGATACCACCTTACTCGTGAATATCGTGAATGAATATGAGTGTGTGTGTACGTGTGTGTGAGCATGCACTTGGTCGATCAATCAGCTCCAGTCACTGCCGGCCAATTCCGACACCGAAACCAATGCGCGATCGTCAGCGTGAAGTAAAAACATAAAAACAAATATTTCACTTTGGGGAATCATCGACAAACAACACAACAATAGCCATTCAAGTCATTCCAATAACATATAGGAAAACCAATATCGGTACTAAGTACAGTGACGCCTTGTTAAAGAGTAAGAAGCAAGCGAAAGGGAAAAAATCTTTGGCATTGAAATATTTCCTTAATCGTTCAAAGCCAGCCCCCAGCTGGCTATAAAATTGGTAGTATAATCCGAGAAAAAACACTAGGCTATAGCTATGGACCTTATTTACATCGGGTAGGCACTCCCATTGAGCAGGCGGGGGGGACCTCTTTAAAACGTAAATAACCGTTACACAACCGCGAAGAGAACGCTCTGGGCCTAACCTGCAATTAGCTGGTTGGTGGTTGTCCATGTATCTGGTCTGGGCTGGTCATTGTCACTTGCTCTCAGCATGGGTCATTGGCCATTAAGTATTGTCAGAGGGAACGTTGAGAGTACCGACTAAGGAGTACCTAGCATTATCTGTACCTGTCCCCATATACTTTACGAGTAATGGGTATACAAGAAAAACTATTGCTGACCATGTAGTGACGTCACAACGAATGCAATAAAATCATTTGGTTTCGTTTCGTTTCAGTTTTGATTTTGATTTTAATTTAGTATTTCTCTCTTGTTGGTCATTAACTTTGCAGACATGCAATTGTTGCAGCTGTACGTACCGAGCATTACTGGTTGATATATCCGGTGTGGCACCGGTGCTGTTGCTGCTGCTGCCACAGTGGTCAACATGTGTGAGGCTGCGTGTGGAAATATTAATAAATGCCATGCATTTCTAATAAATAGCAAAAGCCACACCACACCAGCCACTCAATGGGTATTAAGTAGCCGAAATGTGATTACTCTTTGTGTAAATTTATATTTAGCCCCGAAATTATTTTATTGCTCGATTTATAACGCATGTCTAAGCAGTGATAATGCCCTTAGCTCGCCAATTGGCGTGGCAAATACCTGACTCAGTGGACTACCTGTTGCTCTGGGGTCTAGACAGTGGCGTCTGCACAAAGGGGGCACGAAACGAATGAAACGAAATAATATAGATAATTATACCATAGGTACAGTTGTTGGTAGTACTTTTGGGTATATCATATTTATGAGCAAAGCTCCTTTTACCCCTCCTTTAAAGTTCTCTGTACCGCGCCACTGACTCCTAATGACTGATTGTTGTTGTTGTTGTAGTTGTAGTCACTGTATGACACCCCGCATCGTGAGAGCAAACAACAACTAACGGTGCGAACCTTTTGTGTTGTGTGTTGAGAGAGAGGAAGTGACTCTGCGTGAGAGAGAGAGAGAGAGAGGGTGGCTGAGAGCGAACGAGTGAATGATTGTGAGACCAAAGCTCTGGCCGCGACACCTTTGGCTGCTCACTCGCGTTCGGTAGCCGGCAACAGCAACAACAAAAAACCTACAGAGAGAGAGAATAACCGCAATTAGTCGAAAGATAAATAAATAAACCCGTGCATATGCATAAAAACGTAACAAAGTGCAGGCATGTAAGAGCGATTACTCTGAAGAAGCAACTGGTAATGCAACTGTGAATGATGCGCCCTATGCCGTGTGTGAACTATGTCTCTGTGTATCTACAACTATTGGATCGGATCGAATCGAATCGGCTGTGTTTGTTTTTGGTGTTTAATTATGTATGTACATCTTTTCTGATGCCATTTCAGTTGGCATTCTGTGTTCTGTGAATGCTATCAACGATTGATCCTCAGTCCAACATATTTCCGCCCTGACACATATCGAACAAACAGCTAAGGCAGCTGAGATCTGTTAGCTAGCAGCAGTGTGAGATGGCCTCCAATAGCAGCAGCACCACCGATTTGGACAGTCAGGTCAATGTGGAGGATTTGCCCATCACCTTCAAGGTATGTATGCTTGGGATTTGCGTTTGGCCAAAACGAATATTTAAATGCTGTGAAATGTGTGGCGCAAGCAATGAGCCACCCGCGAACCGCGCACAAAAAATACACTCAGAAAAATGAGTCAGAGAATAATCTATCCAAAGGCAAGAGACAAACCAAGAGCTTGTGGTTATTTCTGCGAGTGTAACCAAAATATAACCAGACACGCATGCGTCACGGTCTGCTGCGCCTTGGTTCGGGGGCATAGCATCTAACATTTTGGCTTGGCTGTAGGCCGTGGGCTGTGGGCTGCAGAGCTCTGACATCCGGCCATGGCTCCAGGGGTCGGATGCAAATGAAGCGACATTTTGCCCGCAGACGGCTGACTAACGGGCAACGCATGCGCAGCGGAAGCAAATGCCACCGATGAATAATCTCCAACTCTCCTTTCCCTTCCTCTCTCTCACACTCTCTCTCTGTCGCACTCATCCATAGGTCAAGTACATTGGCTCGGAGGTGGCGCGCGGCCTGTGGGGCATTAAGTACACTCGCCGGCCGGTCGACCATATGGTGGGTGTGGCCAAGAATCTGCCGCCCAACAAAGTGCTGCCCAGTTGCGACCTGAAGGTGTCCGTGACGGGCGTACAGCTGGAGATCATTTCGCCCAAGGCGAGCATCAACAACTGGAGCTATCCGATCGACACGATCTCGTACGGGGTGCAGGATCTGGTCTACACGCGAGTCTTTGCCATGATCGTGGTCAAGGATGACTCCAGTCCGCATCCGTACGATGTGCATGCCTTCGTCTGCGACAGTCGCGCCATGGCGCGCAGGCTGACCTTTGCGCTGGCAGCGGCCTTCCAGGACTACTCGCGACGCGTCAGGGAGGCGGCCGGCGATGATCAGATCGATACCATAACGCCCGCACGCCAGAAGTTTGCCATCGATCTGCGCACCCCCGAGGAGATACAGGCTGGCGAAATGGACCAGGAAACGGAGGCGTAGTCGGAGGAGTGCCTGATTGCCGTTCGCGGCTGGGGTTGGTTGGGTTCCATTGTGATGTCATAGTTACTTATTGTCCAGTGTTCACTGTAATTGTAAATTGTTCGAGTGCGAGTACCAGTACCAGTACTCCGCTCCCACATGGTACAAGTAGTTTCCTCATGCAGCTAATTGCCCAAAGCTTACATAAGTGTTAATCCAAACTGTAAACGATTTTCTATAATAAATAGTAAATATAAATATTAATAATAATAAACATTGTGATTGGTTGGTACAAATGTGAACGACAAATATCTGTCCCTTGATGTGCAACATTTCTTTGAATTGTCTACATAAGTACATATATTCTTATGTACTTATTGCATGTATTTATTGCATTTATTTTCTTTTATTGATTATTCACAGCAGCCTTTGGAAAAATATTTATTAACTTTTAATGCTTCTAAGTGAATAAATAAAAATGCTAGTTTGATCACTGAAACATAAATCGTTCTCCTCCTCGTTTTAGATATTTATGTAGGGAAACAAATGACGAAGACTTTCCACACGGCTGTTGCACCCTTTAAAAGATATATATCGTGTGCCTACGAATACGATATGAATCTACGTGAAACAGTCCACAATTCGATTTCCCTCTATTCCTATTTTTGGCTTTCTTTAGGTTGCTTTTTAGCTGGTCCGTCTCTACCGTTCAAAGGTTGAATGTGATTCGCCAAGACACAGGACACTCAAACCATTGCACGATAGAGTTGACTGCTCTCTGACATAAACATTGCTGAATCTTACACCAGTAAAAATAGACATGAAAATTTTTAATTTTTATAATTTTTATTTGTAGGTTTTTTTGTTGCAAATTTTCTCCTTTTTTTTGGAATTTGTTTTCTCGTTAACTCGTTGGAACAACAACAATTCTAAACTTAAATTTCAACTCTCGTGCCGCGAAATGACTATATAAAACTAGGAAATCAAGGAATATTAAATTAATTTAAGACTTGCCTAAAAGTGCAAATGAGAGGGGTGGGGGGGGGGAGGGAACTAGGACGTGAACAGGGGGCTGCGCCTCCGCCAGTTCGTTCGCTGATTCTTTTGGCTAGAAGACATGCCTAACTGGCATCGGCGCGGAACAGAAATCTACGCTTGCGGGCATCCATCTTGTCACGCGACTGCGACTTGGGCTCTCGCACCTCGGGCTGGGATTCCTTTTCTGTTTCCGTTTCCGTTTCCACCTTGCTGACAGTCACTGGCAACGTTTGCACCTTGGACATGCTGGGCTCGGCCATCGAAATGCGCTTGTAAATGGGCAGAATCAACTCCTGTTCTGGTTGCGATTCCTGTTCAGACTCAGACTTCGTCTCCGACTCAGACTGAGCTTCGGGTTTTGGGTTCTGTATCAGTGTCATTGGAGCTGCAGCGCCTGGCGTTATGACCAGCTCCATGGGAGCCATCTGTTCGTTCTTGGGCGTCTGATCCAAGCGCTCCTTCACGAGCTCCACAATATCATCGATGCTGATTGAGGGCATGTAAGCAGCAGTGGCTATGCTCTCCTGGGGCGCATCCACATCATCATTGTGGATGGGCGACTCATCGGGTTTGATCTCTGGCTCTGTTTCCAGCTGAATCTGAGAGGTTTCCTCGACTGTCTGAGCCTCTGGTACGGCTTCCTTGACTTCCTCTGGTACGGCTGCTGTTTCTTTGACTTCCTGTGAAGCCTCTGGCTGGGCGTTGGTTTCAATTTGTGGCTGCATCTGCTGCTCCAATGGGATTACCTGCACGGGTATCTGATAGTCCATTGGCAGATGGTTGTACTGCATTATGTTTATAATGGGCGAGTCGGTCATTATCTTTTCCGGTGACTTCTGCAGCTCTGACTCCTCCAGCAGCTGCTCCTCAATTGAGGCATTCTTGTCAACGATTTCGGGCTCTGGCAGCTTGGCCTCCTCAATGGAAACATCTGGCGATTGTTTAATGTCCGTCTCCTGGGGCTCCTCCAACTTCTCGTTTAGAATCTCTGCCATGTCCATGGCTGCTGTGGCCAGCTCAGTCTCGGGTTTCTCTTCGTTTTTCTTCAGAGTATTGAGGAAATCTGTGATCAGCTGCTCTGCCTCGGCGGCCATCACTGGATCGACTGGCTTAAAGCCACCGAGTGACTCCTGCGTCTCCTTATTGTCGAGGAGCAACTGCTCCACCAGGGGACTGTGCTCTTGCATCTCTGGTGTGGCTGGGATGCTCTCGGGTGCATCCGATGGCTTGGCTGCCTCCAGGGCTTCAATGTTGCTGAGGATTTCCTCGTCGGACTCCATAATGGCGGGCTCGTTGCGGTTTCCCTCTTGGATTTCCTCAACCTTGGCTGGCACTTCCTTCTCTTCTTCGGCAGCTGGCGTTTCCTTTTCTTCTTCGACAGCTGGCACTTCCTTGGTTTGCTCCTCTACTGGCTTCACCTCCTCCGTTTCCTTTGGCTGCTCCTCCTCCGTGTCCTTTGGCTTCTTCTCCTCAGTATCCTTTGGCTTTTTCTCCTCTGTATACTGTGTCTCTTCTTCCTCCGTTTCCTTTTGCTTCTCCACCTCCGTATCCTGTGGCTTTGTTGCTTCCAAACTCTCGAAAATAACAGCGGGAATCTCTTCGATGGCCTCAATGGGCTTCACTTCCTCCAGCCTGGTTTCAGTTTCAATCTTTGTGGGTGCTGCTCCCTCTGGTGTGGCTTCTTCCGGCTGTGCTATGGCCACCGCTGGTTCTGAGGCCTGCACCTCCGGCTCTCGGACTTCTTCTACGGTTTGGACAGGTGCGGCATCCTCGAACATCGTTTGCAGCTGCACAGTTGGCGCTGGCTCGCTAAGTTCTACAACGGCCGCCTCCGTGACGGCAGGTTCCTCCACGGGCTTTGGTGTGGTCGTTGGCTTGTTAAAGATCGCTGGCCGTTTGCGAATGCCGGCAAAGAGTTCGTTGCGCACGGGGGCAGGGGCAGGGGCAGCAACAACAGCCTGATGCTTGTGTGGCCGCATGGTGAAACGCTGCGGACTGCTGCCGGGCTTGGACTCTGCCACGGGCTCGGCTACAGCCTCAGTCTCGGCTGCCACGGGTGCAGCTTCTGTGACGGGCGCCTTTCTCTGTGGCTGGGGCTTGCGGCGATTCGGCTTGGGCTTGGGCTTGGACTGCACCTTGACGGGCTTGGAGGGCTGGGCAACGGGTGCCGGTGCGGGTTCGGGTGCGGCCTCCACAGGCTGCTTATCCTTCTCCGACTGCTGCTGCTCCTCTGGCTCAGCTGCCTGCTCCTGCTGCTTCTCCTCCTCCTGCACAGGTGCTCCTCCAAAGTTTCCATTCAACTCGTAGTAGCGGGCGCTATCCTCGCACTCGATGGTCATGTCCTCGCGACGCATGCACGTGAATGATTCCTGCGAAATAAATATCATAAATCTCTAATACAGAGAGAGGGGTGGGGGGAGAGATCGCTGATCTGCTGGCACTGTTCCTACTTGACTGAAAATGGTTTCCTCCGGACAGATGAAGCTCCAACGGAAGGTATTCTCCCTGCCATCGGCATAGGTCACCGGCAGACACACATGGAAGATCTGGCAATCGTTCTCCACGTCCGCATAGTAGCCGTAGGTCTTGTTGGCACACGAAAAGTTGTCGGTAATGTCCGCCCGTATGGAGGTGGCATTACTCGGCAGGGTCAAAGTGCCCAAAGGTGTTGCCGGGGCTGCCACCTGCTCGGACTCCGACTCGGACTCCATCTCCATTTCGCTTGGCAACTCCTGGACTTCCTGCACTTCTGCCGGTGCCTGATCCTCGCGTGCCATTATCGCTGCTGTGTTTTTTCTCTTCTGCAAAAGAAAAAGAGAGGGAGAGAGAGAGACATTCAGCTAACGGGTTACGTGCTTGGCATCAGCAATCAACCAATGAACGATCCAGCACGTGACGAGGGGGCCCTGGGCTCAGCCGCTCAAATTTCACTTGTGTTCTAGTTTTTGGTCTACGCGCCGCTTCGTAAGTGAAAATTTAAGCCCTAACACCGCCCCCTCGGCCACCCCCTGCCCAAACACCCAAACGAATGAATCCACCTGACTCCCTTTTATGGGGGGTGGGCGAAGTGTAGTTACTTTCGAATGGAATCGCTCGAATATTATCACATCATATTTTAAGCCATAATCGTATTGATTTGTTTTATTTGTATTTATTTTTGGGCGCTGCATTTTAATGAGTTCGAAACCAAACAAAAAAACTTTCCCTGTCTTTTGGGCAGTCCAGTAATATTGCAATTATAATAACCAGAAAGTTCCAGATAGTTGTGATCGATTGACTCATCGCAGAAGAAACCCTACCACAAACTTCTCTGGGTAGAACGAATCTTTACCGGCTTGAGGCCACTGCAGCTGCAGGCTATAAATACGTGTAGCTCTGGCCAAGTCTTTGGCTAAACGCTTGGCATACCAAATAAGCCATAGCCGAAGCCGAAGCCAAAAGACAAAACTGTTCGAGCCCTCAATGGGAGATGCGTGTATGCAAAACAGCAGAACAGCAGACGACGCACTGTGGAGTCGAGGAGTCATCAAGTCAAGTGAAGTCAGTTGTCCCGTGTCCCATTAAAGTTTTCTTTAGTTTGGCATTTCATTAACAGTTCTGCCTCCCCATATCCGTTGGCAGCACCACACGGAACGGAAGTGACTGGGTGGGATGGTCAAGTTGAGCTGTCTGCAAGTCTGCGGGGGGAACACTCACCTGGTAGGCGGTCAGCGGTCCTGCGCTGCAAGTGGCCGTTAGGCAGAGAAGCACACACACAGTCTTCCACATGATATTATGCATGATTTTCCAGTTCAGTTTCTCACTATATATAACACACTGATTATTGCACTTTTATCCTCCAAAGGGGCTGAGGTTTTAAATATATTTATTTATATTTATATTTGTGTGTGTTTTGTGTGTTTTGTGTTTAATCCAAAAAATTGATATCCAAGCGTTAAGTATTTCTTTATGGCCAAAAGCTTGCACTCGCACTGCCTGCTGCTGCTGCTGCTGCTGCTGTCTTATTGCTGGAGCTGGAGCTCTTTGCACACCTGTGAGGCACCGTTGGGTGGAAAATACTAACTGCGACCGTCCAGGGCATGCGACACCCAATTTATATATTCTTCGCTTTGATTTATTAAGAATGCAAAAAGGCACAGCAGAGAAAACCCCCAAACAGGCACGCACACAGCCACACAAGCCAAAGAAGCGGAGGCACAGGTACAGGTTCAGGTGCGTGTGCGCATGCGCACACAATGAAACCCCACGGAATATGTGTGTCCACAATTACATACAAATTACAATGGCAATTGCTTATTGTCGTCGACACTGTTGGCTCTTCTGCGCAGACGTGACAGTGCTTGGCCCCCTGTGGGTGTGTGTGCCACTGCCTGTGCGTATCTCTGTGTGAGTGTACGTGGGTGTGTGGAACACATTCGTTGTGGAACCTAAGACATAGTCGAAGAATGAAGGTAGAAAGAGGATTGGTCATGACCATGGCCATGACAGAGCGAAAGGTTTGATCAGTTGAGGCTAGGCGAGAGCGAATCAGGGATCCACAGTTTGGTCCCTATAGTCTTTGCCGTGCTTAAACCTCCCCTACATATTTTCAGATGAATCGAAATACTAATTTCTTTGGAAAGTCTACAAATCGATACTTTCATTTCATTCTCTCAAAGAATAAATCTTCCAAGAAATCTTATTGTAGAAGCTCTTAAGATTGTAATAGTCATAAATTTCTTCTAATCCCAACAAATAACCGCCCAAAGCTGCAGCTTTAACTACAATTTATCAGTTCCTCTTAATGTCTGCCTCATTAATATGCCAGGAGCTCTCAAATCCACTTACAAGATGAACAACATAAGATAGACCAAACAAAAAAAAGACACGTTTGTGTCTGACTTTGATGAGAGCCGCCTGTGGGGGGGACTGACTAACTAGCGCCAGGGCAGATAATACATAATTAATCAAGCAATACGATAATAATTATTATTTTTTTTTTAATTTTTATAGCTATTTCCGATGGCAATGCCCTCTGCAGCTTTCGCTTTTTGTTTGTGCGCTGTACGTGATTTTGATAGAACAACCCAAAAGGCAATGGCAAAGGTAAGCTTGGAGGAGGGCAGCCAGGGACCCAATGACAGCACTAAACATCAAATTAGAAATTCATAATTGTCGCGTAATATGCCGCAAACACACACACGCACACAGCTACGTGTGGCTGAGAGTGGAGGCTCTGACTTGGGGGCTTTGGGGGCGAAATGGTAGCAAAACCCATTCTAAATTGCTAATGCGCCTTAATAGGCTTCGCTTGTTTTGGTACTGGCGTTATTTTTTGTTGTTGTATTTTTTTTAGGGTTTTGGTTGTGTGAAAGTCACTGCATGATGATATTTCGTTTGTTGCATAATCCTCCTTCTCCACTGGGATGGTTAGCCCTCGCTAGCCCCCCAGGGCCGTGCCAATGAACCCTAACGAATTTCTGTGATGGGTTCTGTAGTGTGTCGCCTGTAAGGCAGAGCAGAGCAGAGCAGAGCAGATGCCACTTGGTACACATAAAATTGCAATCTCACGTCGTCTGGGGGCAATCTTTCGAGTGTAATCTGTGCTCGGCTGCTCTGCCATGCCATGTAGAGGCAGAGTCATCATTGTGTCACCCATTTTGACAGTGCTTGAGGCAGGAAGCAATGCTAATGGACAAACAATTTCTTGGTAATAAAACGCAATCCCCAACGAAGTTCTCTGGGTAGTTCTCTCTAATGCTGAATGTGGAATATTTTGGGAAAATTCGTTATGTCCAGTAAGAGCAATGCCTATAGTTCTCATTGAAAGTTGTGGGGGGAATATGGGAAGTTATGGTATGGCAGAAACTCTATTGACATATTGAATTGGGGTCTCTTGTTGGTTGCCTCTCTCTTTAGTCAAGCCCTTAAGACATAATCATTAACATGCCTTCATGTACATACATATATGTATGTAATGTAATGTATTTTTGCGCACTTGGCAACAAAGTATTGCTTAAATGCATTCTGCATGAAATGTTTGCCCGGGACACACAAGACAGAGGACAGGGGGCCTCAGACCCAGACCCAGACCGCATCGTGGCAAAGATAATCGCGTTGACAACAGGGCGACGTGTTGAGGCTGACGCAGAAATTCTACAGCAGAATCATGACTGGAATTATGAAAAATCATATTATTAATAGACAGCAGACGGACACAGGAGCCAGGCCTGGGCCTGGGACTGTGCCTGAGCCTGAGCATTATTTAAAAATCGATGAAAAGAAATGCAGCAGGCGAAAATGTTTCTTAATTTTGACTCTTTCTTTCGTTCGAATTTGTGGTGCAGTGCAGGCGAATAAAATAAACACAAACACATGTAAACTTTCTAAAATGCAAATTGCACTGCAATGGAAAATCATGAACACTTTTCAATTTCAAAAACACACACAAAAAAATTAAATTAAATGCCACTGAAGACACGTGGGCGTTGGAATTGGCCACTCCTACTCGCCTACTTTTCTGCAGCTGCTGCTGCTGCTACGGATCAGAGTCCGAGTCTGCTGTGCGTATACGTGATGTGCACTGGCACTGGCACCACTTTCTAGTGGCAGTTAAATTAATTAAGTTTTCGTTAAGCACAATTGCGGGGCCACATCAAGCCATCAAATGCCCAAAATGACAGTTCAATTGACAGCGGCACGTCGTCGCCTGTCACTTAGTGGAGCAGCCACCAAACGGAGCACCGAATGGAACGCGCTTAGAAATGTTCGCCAAACACTCTCGAATTGATCCACACGCCCCGCACCGCCCCGCCCACGCGTTTCTCGATCCGTGACGCTAACACTTCCTTTTGCCAAAACTCGCAAAAAAAAAACCATTGATATTTTTTGTATTTTTTTTTGCAAACCCTGCACGTTGTTGACCGTTATTCGCCCACCCCAACGGGGCAGGCAAACATATTCGCAACAGGAATATCAATTGATTATTGAGGGTTCGGTTCTGTGTTTAATTTTTTTTGGCAACATATCGAGAACAGATCGTATCTGCATGATATATCGCCGGGGGCCACACCTCTCTCCCAACGCCCACATTAAACATTTAACCACAGTCCGAAGTGGAGTTTAGAAAGTGCTGAAAACTAAACTAAAAAGCATTCTCTCTGTTTCTCTGATGATCAATTATGTTGCACACGTTTGAAGTAGACACCTACCATGCCCGCCTCCGCCAGTTCCAGTTCGAATCGGTTGATAGGTCTCCCTGGGCTCCCACGCCTAGGGCCAAGTCTGATTGAATTTTTATGGGCAATTTCATTGATTTTAATTTTGCTAATGATAAGAATTTCTTTGCACGAATCTCCATCATACTAGTGGCAAGGGGGCAGCCCGGGGGCGGTGATAGTCAGCTTTTGATAACGCGCATGTTGCGGCATGTCAATTTGCTTTGCTCCACGTTGCATGTTAATTGGAGGAGATTTTCTTTTCAATTAGCCTGGGTCTGGGCCTGCGCCTCCCTCCATTAAAACAAGGTCAATATCAAACGTGCCAGAATGCCAGTGAAGGTGAAATACTTTACTTGTATATAAGTTAAATTGGAAAAGCTGTAGCTTGACTTTCTTTTTGACTCCCAAAATCTCATGGCTGTTTCCACAATATGTAAATTCTGACAATGCAATTAACAATTGCTTATAATCTATTGTTTATTTGCCGTACAGTGCAAATATTTACAATTTATTAGCCATAAATTTGCAGCGCACTTGTCAGAGTTTTGTCAAACACAAATTTAATTGCTTATTACAATCATCAGAGTCGTCAAAACTTTTAGTCAAAAATTCATTTAGCATTCGACACACGATCTGCGCATGCGCAAATTGCTCAGCGACACCCACAAGAAGAACAAACCAAAAAAAAAAAAAACCAGACAAAATAAAAAACGTTAACGAGCCGCACAGAGACGCGTCTATTTTGGGCGCACGTCGCCCCCTATTTGGTATAACGGAGCAGGTGCCAGGGAGCTCCAGAACTGGGCCACAGAATTAGAATCGAATGCACGAAGGCGACCGACGGACGAACAGGTGAAATTTCTGTTGGAATTTCAGCGCAAGAATTGACCGCATTCTGATTGTAGAGAACCTCACCAAAATGGGGCAGGAAATGATTGAATGGACTTTTTACTTTGGGTTTTCCCATTTGTGCAGAATAAACCCTCGATGTAGCCAATGTTTTCTTGATTTTTGTTTAATATGCATCATAGTATATGTAACATATAAATATAATAAATAATTTGCATAAATAACTTAAGACTAATTATATTCTTTCAATCGAATCATCTATCAAAAAGTTTAAATTAATTTAAAATTTAGTTTACATTTAGGGCATTGCACTAAGGGTCATCTAGGGTTACAACTAAAATTGGCTTACTGGCATTTTTTTCTTTGTGCTAAGATTAATTTTGAGCTAGGACCTTACTGGGGGATTATTTAATAATCAGCATCATAATACAAAATAAAATCAAATAAGCAGACGCAATAAATTAAGCAGGCAGCAAGCAGCAGTGTGTGCTGGGTCTCTGGGGTGGCTGGGCTCCATTGGAGTGCAGGCGTTGGTAGGGAGGGGCTGGGCTGTGCTGGGGGTATCTACTGCCATTGGTGCTGCTGGTTGCGATAGGCCAGATAATGGGAATCCTGTGGCTGCTGTTGCTGCTGCTGCTGATGCTGCGTACGGATCTGATAGCTGTCCGTGGATGAGTCAACATCCTCAACGGATGGATCCGTTTGCAGGGAGCGCTTCCAGTAGCTGCCCGGCTCGCTCCAGTCCTCGCCATGGTCCTCATAGTGGTGCTGATGGTGGGCATGTTCAACGTATACAACCTAGTTAGAAAATATGCAAAACGCGTGTGGCGTGAAGTGAGAAACACCAGAGGAAGTACCAAAGAAGCCCAAGAGTTTGTGTATGTGTGTGTGTCTGGGTATCAAGTATCTGTGTATGTCAGTGTCAGAGATTTTTTTATATGTATGTATGTATGTATGTTGTTATATAGGGCAGGGATTTTTCAGGAATATCCCAAGTCAAATGGAAACTTGGGATGCTTGAGCATCACCTTTGGGCATCTCCCATACTTACACGGGAACATTTTCAGTTTCATTTCTTTTTCTTTTCATTTTTGTTTGTAGGAAAACTCTATGGAGAAATGGTTTTGGTTGGGTCTTAAACTGTACTGGTATTAGTGTGAACTCTTATGTATATTTTTTTAGAGTTTGTACGTTCCGAAAACGTTCTGTTTTCGGGGGGTGGGAAGATGCTGTCCAACAATTTTTACCACCATATCTGAAACCAAAAAGGTCTGAATTTGTTAGCATACTGGATGGAATACGGGCACATTTTTGGTGTGTGTTTTGCGATTGAAACTCGATTTGGTGGTTGTTGTAGAAATTCTGGAACTGGAAACCAAAAGCTGTGATGCTCCACAAAAAGAGTTAGAGAATAGTTAGAACGCGGGTCGTGGGTGTTGGCAGGAAAACGCATTTTACAAATCCTTATATACATCTGGTGTGTGTGTGTGTGTGTGTGTGGGTGGGTACAGATAGAGACAGAGAACAAGGGCGTAGGAAACACAGAGATTAAATGAGTTAAGAGGGAGACGCGGCGGGGGCCGCTTCAAAACCTTTTGCCACATAAAAAAACCTTAAGACTTGTTCAACATAAGACTTAAGAACTGAAAGAGTGCAGAAAATCCATTTAGAACAAGGATATACATATATTGGGTCTCATAACCGTCGTGTGTCCGTTGCTAGCGGTTGGGGTGGTGGTTAAATTAACTCGCCCACACAGCTGCGCTTTAGCTCCCCTTATTGGCCCCGCCCCACTCACCTTGGACGGCGGACTGCCGCGTTTCACATCGATCCAGAAGCGAGCAATGTTGATCAGTAGGCCAATGAGCGCAATGGCAAAGAACTTGACTTGCAGATGGGCGCCAAGGATCTTCAGCAGCAGCTCGATTTTGGCCTTCAGGAAGGTGCCGACCAGCATAAATTTGGCCAGGGCCTTCTTCTTCTTCTTCTTCTTGCCACGGGTAACTAAAGATCGAAAGGAATGGAGAATTGTTAGCTTTATTTTGTTGCTCCAGGTAGAATCAGCAACCAACTTACTTGGCTACAAAACGGAACGGAAAAAACAACAATAAATATCGATATATTTGTCGCTTGGGAGGGTGGTGTTTGTTAGTATGAACTGCAGTGCGCGTCAAGTGCGTTAACGGTAACAAAAAACGGTAACGGCAAGCAAAAGCAGGCAATAAATCGAAAATGAACAAAACAAAAAACTTAACCCTAAAACTTTTAAATTCAAATTCGAATTCAAATGTGCAAAGTGACAGTAGCCTAATGCTATGTCACTCCACTGCTTGACACTGCTTGAAGCAGTGTACTTATAGCAGTCAGCTCTCAACAGTGAGCGAAAGTTTAAATTTGAATTTGAATTTAAAATCAATGTACATAAAACTAAATTTAAATGTTTAGAGTTTACTATTATATTCTATCTATACCATCCCTTCTCTTCTGGTCCACCACCACCGGGTATAACATAACTTAGATATAGAAAGGGCACTTAAGTTGTGCTTGAAAAACGGTGCGCAAAAGTCATTTAAAACCACACGCAGCAAACAACACACACCTCCGTTACTTCTACCATATCTAATTGGATTCCTGTGCTTGCGCTTGCCACCGCCGCCGAGCAGCTCGTCATTGGCTTCGGTCAGGTCATCGAGAAGGCCCAGTCCCAGGCTCAGATCGTTCTGCTCGTGCTCCACCGCCGTCCCGCTGTTCGAGTGTTGTCCCTTGCGCTTGCGCTTCTGTCCCTTGACGCGTTTCTTCTGCTTTCGCTTGTGAGGCCTGGAAACGGAACCGGAACCGGCATCATCGTGCTCCACACTGCCACCGCCATGTCCATGGCCGTGGCTAGCGATATGCGAGCCATGGCCGTGGCCAGAGTCCACTTCGTGGTGTTCGGGCGCTGCCTGCACCACCACCAATGTGGCTGGCTGTGTCTGTCCTTGGTCCTGTCCATGTCCGTGTCCCTTTTGGCCCTTCTTTCTGCGCTTCTTGTTCTTCTTTTTGTCCTTTTTGCGCTTGCCACTGCCGCTGGGTTTCTTCACTGCTCCCGTGGCCGTCTCCTCGCCATCCTGCAGCTCTATGAACTCCGCACCCGTGGAGGTGCTGTCCTCGCTGAAGACCGTGTTCTTGAGGTCTTCTCCCTGCAGCTCTGCTGGCTGTACGCTGATCACACTCGAAATGGGTTTATTTTCACTTTCTGGCTCCGCCTCCTCGTCCGCCTCATCTTCCCCACCATCGGGCTCCCGCTCCGCTGTGTTGTCTGAGGCATCATCATCAGCATCATCAGCATCTTCCTCGTCGTCGGCGTCGCCATCACCGTCACCTTCTGTTTCTGTGTCTTCGGCGTCTTCGGCGTCCTCCTGGTCAGCTTCCTCAGCGGTGTCGCTGCTGTCTGCTGCAGTCTCTGCATCCGCCTCATCGTCATCATCATCGTCTTCCCCACTCTGGTCGTTTTCACTATCATCTGGCGTTGCTTTCGAGGTCTGCAAATACTCGTATTCGCGGCCAAGGAAGCTGTTTTGGCCACGCGGCGGGAAGGAAGAGGGTAGAAAAACAGGAAGAAATGAAAAGCTTGCGCGAAAAAGCGACGAAAAACGTGCATTCAACTTGTTTTTTCGCTGCTTGGCTTGAGCCACTTACCCGTCCATGGTTTCGGCTAGATATTTCTTCATATAATTCGTGCCGATTTCAATTTTCTTTAGTATCGTCGATGGCTTCTCTTTCAGGGGCAGCTCCGAGGTGCTGTAGCCGCGTCGCTCAATCGTTGCATTCATCTGGCGATCGGCCTCGACTGTAAGCCAACAAATAAAATACCCAAAAAAATGAGTGGAATGTTTTTATTTTTAATTGCTTTTTCATGTAAATGTTGTGGGTACTTTTTCTGTGAGTGTTTTGCCTGAGAAATTGCGTGGAAATTGGTTTGGAAAACTCCCCCTGAGGATGTGGCATTATCGGTACTCAATGATCACTAAATGCTCGCCATGGTGTCCAGAGGGGAGTTTTCTTTCTTTTTTTTTTTTGCTCCTCACCCACATTTTGCTTTCCCCTGTTCTTTTTTGGCTGGGAGCTTTTCTTTGCACTCACATATGTGTGGGAAAAAAGTATTTTGTTTTTTTTAAATTTAATTTGAAAATAAACTCAATGGAAGATTCAACTTTTGGCCTTTCCAAATCTCCACTTTTGAGGTAATATTTGCATGGAAAAATGATTTCTAAACTTACCCTTTAACTTCTGCCACTGGACATGCAGTTCACCGTCCCAGGAATCCAGTATCCTGGCCGACTGCTGGCGGGCACAGGTCCATGGCTCGGAACGTAAGGGGCACAAGGCTAAATCCAAATACGGCGAGACCTCTGCAAAAAAAGTAGACAACATTGAAGATCAGTGTAAATATGAGGCACACACCATGAAGGGGGGGCAAATATTTGATGGAAAACTGCAAACGAACCGACCAATGGTCCACAGTTGACAGCTTGACTGACTTTCAGACTCGTATGTGGCCAAACCAGAGACGATAGCTCGTCCCAGCGGTGGGATTTGTGGTCCAATTTGGCTTACTGGCTGGTTAGCTGGTTAACATGCTGTCTTCACAGACCTGTGACTGTGACTTTTCCAACTGCAAATATTGAGTGAAAGTATGGGTGGAAGCAGGCAGAGTCAGACACTGACCACTGCCACTGCCACTGCAACAATCATCTCAACACCTTCTGTGGTGGCCTCCTGCTGGTGCTAACAAGCATCCCCCGGACCTTGGCTTGTTTGTGGCACGTTCCATGTTTCATTTAACGATTAACGACGTGCCGTACCGTTGCTGCTTAGAGATCAATCAGACATGGAGTGAAAATGTCCACCGATCGACAGTAATTAAAATTACTGCTGCCTGTTCGTCCGGACAGCATAAGTAGCTTTTTAATTCGGAGACCAGACCCGCCATTTAATTGCGAATAATTGAATTTGTTATTTGTAATTTTTTATTGTGTGGCATTTCAGCAGCGACTGCCACAATGGAGGTCTGCCGGAGAGGCATTCACACTTTCTTGTCCCCCCCCATCCACAAACTAATGACACACAATTTCCATATTTCCGTCAAGTTTTTTGTGTGCAAATTGAGCAATTATATTAACTGATTAAATTCATTAGGACCTAGCTGTGGCATGCCACGTATACTCGTATGTAATTGCTGCTGCCACATTGGAGCGGACTGGAGCGCCAAGTATCGTGATGGGGCGAAAATGTAATGTCAGTTCGTGTGGGCTTTTTGTTATGTTTTTTCTTGGTAGCAAGTCTCTTGTCTCGTTCGTTTCGTTTTCTTTGTCACAATCTGCGAGTATTTGGCTTCATTTTACTTTCAATGGCAGACGATTGTACCCGATGGCGGGTACTTTGACCCAAGGCCTGGCTAATAATTTTTGCACAATTCAATGCCAGGTGAAAGCCAGAGGATGCCACCAGCCACTGGCCAAAAGGCCTGTGGAAAATTGTCTCCTCTTGTAATTCGTGGTGACATCCAACACACAGAGATAAACATCCTGTTAAGTTCGACCCACGCTGCATCCAAAATGCCACAAAGAATGCCGCAGAAGGGAGCGGGAGAGGGGGAGCAGGCGAGGGAAATCGACAACGACTCTGGGGAAGTTCAAAGAAAGCTAGCTGCCTGCATCGTGCTACTCCCTGGCGAGCGAGCCGAGCGAGCATCTTCGATAGCTGTCCAAACTTTGGTTGGGGTGTCTCTGGTGTCTTTGTTTTTCACAGCAAATGTGGCACATTATTTTGGCAGCTCCTTAGAAGACCATGTCCATTCCATTTCCTTTGCCATTTTGTTAGTGGGGGAATTTCAGATGGCAATGGGCGAAGCCCGGGGGCTGGGTGTCTTTTCACTTATTTTTCCTGATGCATTTGGCAGGGCGTCGCATGCTAATGCCAACCGTCAACCAAGTGCCAGTGCCAGTGCCACTGCCGGAGACCTAGACCCAGAGCATGTCTGGGGCCCAAGCTGATGGCCAATATTAAATGAACTTTCACTGCAATTTAGATTTATGCGTGGTCCCCCCTGCTTTTGGTTATAGGGTACGAGTACTCCTCGTATACTTAGTAGTTATAGGCATTGGCCGGCAATGCTTGGCCTGAGCTCGATGACGGGTGACGCATTTGCCTGCTCCGTTCAGCTTCAGCACCAGCTGTAAACTGCTGCTGTTGCTGTTGCTGCTGGACTATTGGCCATGTAGGCTAACTGTGTCCGGCATTTGCCTGCTGGCTTCCCATAACAGTAGCACATAAAATATTAGCATAATCATCAATGAACGGAATCCGTTCCAAGTCATATTTTGGTTGCCAGATGAAGTTATTGAGCGTGATTTGTGGCCGCATAGGAAAGTGAATCGTTGTAAGTTAGTGGCTAAGTATGGGGCAGCTAGAATTAACCTGAATATTTGGCTACCATTTGGTCAATAGATCTATCAAATTGTGAAGGGAATACTTCAACATTCGATAGATTTCCAACTTGCATATAGATATAAAAATCAATATGCCCATTAAATAATGCTACATAAAGTTTCTCATTCCCCAAGGGAAAGGAAAAGTAAAGGAGAAAGGAGCCTTAAACGGTCCTTTTCCTTAAGAAAGAGAGAGTAGATATTTTGGAGGAAGTAGATATTATTACGGAGTAGATATTAAAGATATTAAATATAAATTTAAATTAATAAACACAAACATGCGACAATTTATGGAAGGTAACTTTACCTTAAACATCAAAAGTATGGCCCATATTTAAACATAAATCTAAAACACTTCAAAATAATAATAATACTTTTAATTTAAATATGAGATATATTTAAATCAAATATTTTTATATCGTTGTGATTAATGTAAGTGAAGCACTTTCTTTTTACATTTTCCAATATCGGAATAAATCGAAATCTGTAAATATTTAAAACTCAAGTCTTTTTTTCTCTGGCTGTATTAATCCATAAGATTCTATCATTCCAATCTCTTATACTTCACCCATACTATAGATCCCCAAATCGATTCTTTTCTATTGAATATTCATTAAATCTCTATAGAGAAAACCCAACTTAGGGCAACCATCTTGGGGCATTGTCTGCCTCTTGATCTACTAGTGGGTATAATTGGGTGTCTATTACAAAAGAATTTTGATGGGCTATTAAAGAAATCAAAGAAGTCGGAACAATATAATATATGCTCAGCTTAACCGTTACCGCCAGCAACAGTACCCGTACCCCCAGCGAGCAACAAAAACAAACCTGTGAGCTCTTCTGCTCAGCTGAGCTGAGCTGAGCTTCGAAACGTTAATAAACTTTCACTGGTTTTTCGATCTGGCGCAGAATTTGAATTGAAGCCGTCAACCACAGACAACAGCACAAACAGCAAGCAAACAACAACTGCGACATGAGCCACCACACCATCATACAACATATATGTGCATATGTATGTATGTATATTAATGGGGAGACCCACTTTGGGTACGCAAATCGATGGATGGCGACTGCAACTGAAACTGTAATCCGCTCCTAAAGTGGCGTACGCAGAAATCCACTCGACAAACAGCTCGTCGGCAGATGCAGCTTTTGTGACAGCTTCATGGAGTAGCTCCAGTTTTGTACATCTTTTAAGCCAAGTCAAACGGAATAGTCTGCCCAACTAGGAAAAGATGCCAATGCCAATGCCAATGGCAATGACTATGGCAATACCTGAGACTGCAGGCAGAGCAGGCCGCTGGATGCTCAAGCGGCAATTAAAAAATGAAATTAGATTTCCATGAATTCCAGTGAAGCAGCAGCAGGCAGGCAGGCAGACAGACAGGCAGGCACTTTTCATTTTTGCGCTTCAACCAAAAATGTCGCCAATGCCGCGCTCCGTTTTAGGCGTGAGATTCCATGGGATTCCATTCGGCTTGCAGGCTTGCAGTCATTTCCAGTGGCATTGTTTTAGCTTTTGTTTTTCCAGACCAGACCAGATCGGAACCACACCAGATCCGACCAGACCAGAGGCAGAGGCATATTTAAATAGTGTCCGAGCCGAGGCAACGACTCACTCTCACATACAAATATGACGGTTATAACCCAATTACTGAGCATTTTTCAAGTTTTTTTGTGTGTGTTTGTCTGTTTTGGTGTCGTCGCAATTTGTATTGTACAACTCCCCAAAATGGAGGCGGCTCTCTCGCCCTGCCCCTGCCCCTGCCCCTGTCCATGCTTTTGGGTTGAGTTGGTGTGGTCAGCGACTGAATCAGATACTATCACAACTAAGACATCAACTTGTTTGGACTTGCCGGTAATGCCTGCCTGTTGCCGCCTCTGTTTGTGTTTCGCTGTTGTAGCAGAGGAAACCTTGTACTATTGCTGGTGTCTGTCTTGGTTGTTGCCATTGCCACTGCCACTGCCACTGCCACAGATGCGCTACTCTTGGAGGAAAGAGAGTTCCATGAATAATTCATGTGATTGCTGCTCATAGGTGCTGGAAAATACTTAATAGGGAAAGGAATTGCGCACAAAGAATTCTGTCTGCGAATCAATTTAAACCTAATGTGGAGTTTTTATAGTTTTTTTTTCTTTAAGGATAAACAGTTACTTTTCTTAACGTGACATTACAATCATTCTGACCTATGAATTCCAGTTACAATCAAATGCCATGGCCCCACAGTAATCCAACTGCCTGACGCATACTTCCACCCACCAACCAAACTCTCTTTAATTTACAATTTAAAATATTACTTTATTAAAACCTCACACCACACCCGCCCCAAAGGGGGGGCCAAAAGAGACTTTCATTTTGTACATTAAAAATTCTTTGGGGCATGCCTCGCACTCGTACTCGTGCTCGTGCTCGTACTGCAAGTGTATTCGATATTCGCTTAATCACAAACCGAATAACCGTTAAATCATATTTGCTTTTTTAGCCTGCGTGTTCTTTAATGACTCGACACTCTGCCCCTCCAACCCACCTGCTGCCGCACACACCCACCCCGTTGTTGGCCGTGGACGCCCTTCGCTGCGCTGCCGCCTGTTGGCCGCCTTAGTACTGGTTTAGTTAGTTATGACCCATATTACAGGGCACACACTTAAAGACACAGACAGCTGAGCGTTGCCCTAAACGATAACGAGGTGTACTTCTTTCTGGTAAATGGTAATGCCTTCTTGCACTTGCCTGCCACTTGCTAATTGTACGAGAAACAAAAAAACAGCAAGGCAAAAAAGTGTCATCCGCTCCATAACGTAACAGAGTCAAAAGAAGCACAGCCTCATGCCTCATGTGTGGCATGTGTACCATGTGTGCCACCACCAAGCCACAGTGCTGTTCTGCTCTTCTGCTGTTCTGCTGCATTGCCCATGAAAGTCACCTGGCTAAAGCAAATCCCGTTGGGGGTTTTGACATCATCGCGCAATTGATGGACTCTGTGCCTGGACTTGTGCCTGGCAGACGGCTGCTGTCTTGTCCTCCCGTGACCACTCGAATGGCTCATAAATCTTTTGCCACTTGATGGCTGATTCTGCTGGCAAACTTTCGTCCGCTGCTGCGTTATATAATTGCTAAACAAAACAACAATTTTTGCCTTGCCCAGCGCTCTCACATTCAACTTAATGAGCCGAAATTTCACTGCAATAAAAGTATTTCATTTGAAGGTTTTTTGTTTGTGTTTTTAGTTTGGGGGCTTTTCGTTACATTAAAGAAAACCTCAAAACACACAGACAAAAGCAATTTTGGGGGGGTCGGGGGCCGAAAGAGGACGGACAGCCTGATTGTTAGCCAGCCCGCTGACTCATTTGATCCGATCTCTAAAGAGATTTCTTACCATTTAAGCGTCGGGGAACAGGTGCTGCAGCTGCAGCTGCTGCTACTGCTCTGATTGGCACTGACACGGAGAGGGAGGCCGATGCCGGTGCCAGTGCCGGCAAGCTCCAGGCATGCGCTGTGGTCAGGAGGAGCAGACAGAGCAGCAGGCCCAAGCAGGCTGCATGGAGAGAAGGCGGCCGCCAGTCCATTGTTGGATGGATGCTGATGGATGGATAGATGGATTGTTGGGTACGTCACACACTTGCACCGTTAGAATAAATCAAAAACTCCGAAGAAACAAAAGTCAACTCTCGCTCTGGCCACTGGCCGGAGGAACCACTGATTTATGAACACTTTTTTTTTATCGACACGCACAAGAACAAACGGCGCTTCGTTCCATTTTTAATATAATATTTTTCGAATGAAGAAAAAGAATCCAAAAAACCGTAACGAACCGATCCAAAACCGAAATTTAACGAAATTATTCTCTTGTTTTTCAGTTGATATTTAAATTGAATTCCCCCACAGCGCCTGATGGCTGGATGGGCTGTGCTTTTGTGGGTGCCACTGCTACTGCGATCTGCGATCGGCGATCTGCACACGACCAAGTTCAAGGTAAGATTAAGCCATGACGCGCATACGTAAGAAGTTTTATACCAAAAACACCAGCTGCCAGTTGCCAGCTGGGACGGCGCTAGCTTAAGAGAGCGCAATGTGAAAGCGAAGCGCTCTTTGGAAAGTTTCACCACGGAACCTGGTCTGGTCAAGAGAGCCAATGCCGATAGAGGCTATGAAGCCAAATGCTGGATCTTGCTATTGACTTGTTAGATGTTCGCTGTTCGCTGTTCGCTGGTTGCTTGGATTTTGGCAAATGTGTGGCATGCACTGAACAAGCGGATCAATTAAGCTGTCCGCTATGCGCATATCGTTTCCCTAACGAGTTCCCCCCCACCGCATATTTATATGTAAACCAATGAACTGTGACATGACCTTTGGTAGGGTTTTAATTAACATTTTCAGCCACGCCAAGAAACTATTTGGTGGATATTGTGTCATTCCATTGACTGGAAGAAAGAGTTTTTGTGTCGCTTAAGACAAGAGATGGCAAGGCTTGCGATATGGATTAAATCTTTTTTATTTCTTTGCTGTTTGACCCCTTAAAACCCCATCTAATCCATCAACATACTCGTATGCAAGGCATTGAGCAGCACACGAATTGAACTCTTCGTTTCATTATGCAGACGACTGCCATTGGGCGCCCATGGATGTCATTTGGAAAGTCGTTCGTGGCAGCCGCCACTAGAGACAGAAAGATGCAAATCCAGGTATGGCAGATGCTAATCCCTGTCCAGGGTTCACAAGGTAGTTTTCCCATTGAATGGAAAACAGCCAAGATATTTAAACCCAAGCCCCAAATGTGGCCCACTTTTACCTTTCCCTTTCGCTCAGCTTTCATCATACTTAGCACCTTTTTTTTAGCCTATTGCATAGTCCATTTGTTTGTTGATCAAGTTAACATTTAGTTTATGCAGCAACAGTGTTGCATCATTCACAAATTCTGGGGCGGCAAACCAAACTTAATTTTCACTTATAATACGAGATATGAAAAATGAAAGTTTTCTAGCTATTTACCCATGAAAAGCAAATCCCTAATTGACAATTGACTCTGACAATTCGCAAGTTAATGCTAGATGTGTCTGTTGGTCATAAGCTTAGCCCTGTCTAGGCCTGATAACCTCTCAAACATTGGCAGGGACAGGCACAGGGACGGGTACACACCTGTCGTCGCTCACAGCAAACAAAAAGAAAGTTTGCACAAAATATTACTATATTGTCAGATCGAAGTTGGAAGCGAAGTGGGTGTGACCAAATCCAACCCACAATCCCCCAATCCAATTTGGTCAACGCACTCGATGGGCACATCGCACATTGATCGAATTTTGATTAGCATTACAAAATGAATGAGGGAATTAGCGTAGAATTCGTGATGAACGAACATTTTATTCCATAAATCAATTTCACTTTCGAACAGGCCAGCCAGCCGGACAGTAACGGGCAATTAAGGAGACATAGGGCTGCCAGAGATGTCGCCAGGGATGGCCTGTGACATCCCGCTGTCCGTTGCACGATGCTCGATGCCCATTCCCATGTCCATTTGGCATGTCCATGCAGGGGCTTCCATGTCCAATTATCATGTTAGAAAGAGAGTGAGAGCAGCCAGATCCACTGACAGCAGGTCTCCAACCTCACACCAACTCCAGAGCTGCAACACAAAAGATACAACTGCAATCTTGTAGGCCCAGTGTCGTCGCTGCTGTCCGTTAGACGCAATTATCCACATTTTATATAGAAAAAGGCAAAAGGATGCTGCTACTGCACATGCTGCTGCCACTGTCGATGGTTCAGTTGGCCTCATGATTTGTCGTTGGCCAAATGAAAAAAAAAATCCATTGAATTGGAAAGAAAAAAAAAACCTTTGAAGCATGTATTTCAATAATCGCAATGGCCAGTGCAGTGGCTGCTGCTGCCGCTGCTGCTGCCTCTGCCTCTGCCTCTGCTGTGCGTTAGAAAGCAGACAAACAGAGAAATTCATTTTCATTATGGATTTTGGATTTATATTTGTTTGTTGTTGCTCTTCTATTTCCATTATAATCGTAAGTAGTTTCTTTTCCTCTCTTGTTGGTTGGTTTTTATTTTGGCCTTATCGTCTCTTACGTACTCTTTTCATGCGTGATCTTTTTTTGGTTTTTTGGCACGGCGACTAATTAATTGAAACGCTCTTCTATGGTCAAGCGCCGACAAAGACATCACAGCAGAGTGACATCGGGCACGGCACAACATTCACTCAACTGCCTGCCCACACCTATGATGGCCGACGGCTAATGGCTTGTGGTTGAGTGCTGTCAAGCCAGTTCAGGTCCAAATCCCGTGTATCCACCCATAAATCAGTCAACGAGTCAAGATTCCATAAGGCCAACCCTGCTCCGTCGTGGCAGGGAGGAGGCGAACCGATTTGTATCAGAGACAAAACCAGTAAACGTCCATTACATGCTCGAGCGCCTGTCCGAACGCCTCTAATTGCCTCAGATAAATATTTATCGATCACCCCACATTGCAATCGACTCAATCTTGTTCGTTCGTCGTTAATTTGTTGCACTTGTCGGATAAGTTTTGTTCATTAAATTGCTTAATTGTTTCTGGCGGCACTTTCTAGAGGACAATCCTCATACGCCCCATGGGTAACGATATATTTTTGGATAATTTATTTGTATTAAAAGTCAAAGGACTTGGCAAACGAACTTCGAAAATTGAAAAGACTTAGGACACAAACCTTGAAAATTGAAAAGACTTAGGAAACGAACTGTGAAATGTCAAAGGACTTAGGAAACGAACTTCGTTTTGTTCCTAACAACTATTTGTAGAGATCCATCGCGTATTTTATTTTATTTTATTTTTTAAATAAATCATTTATATATTGCATATTTTTAAGATGATACGCCAAATTCAAATAGCATTACCGTGGCTATTTTTGGAACTTAAATAACTTGCGTGGCGCCATCCAGCTGCATTTTTTGTGGTTTTAAAATGTAACTAACGCCGCTGAAAATGGCGGCAATTAATGGAACCTGAAGTAGTTTCATGGCGTCGAGCTTTTGCGAGATACTAGTTAATATTATATTTAAATGGCTAAAACGTTTTTTTATTAATTTTTAAAACTAATGCAGTAAAACTAATGTTTTAAAGTTTAGCGTTTAAAATTATGTGTTATTTAAAAGAACTTTTTCTTACCCTGAATCTAATTGATTTTTATCTATTTAGCAGGTTAAATATTCTTGTGTGAAACTTTTTCAAGCTTAATCACTCCCAGACTCCCAAACACTCGCATTTCCAGCGCCCTCCCTCAGTGCCAGTGTCATATTGGGTAGCTATACCTGTCCACACTCTCTGTACAAAATCATCTACAATTTACAGTCGCACCGCTAAGCCATCCATCAATCAGCACCCTACTCGTACGCCAAAATCTCTCAATCAGCTAAACGAGTGTCAAAGAGGGTAAGGCGATTACTTAAATTTGTTGCCCTCGTTTAGTCACTCAATCTTTCATCTTTCACTCTATACAAATATTTGATTGAAATTGAAAACTCAGAGAAGTAAAGTTGCTAATAATGGGTAAACCTCCAAAGATTTCGTCCATAATTATTGAACCAAAATTTGATATATTTTGCTTCCACTTTGGGCCTCTCTTCTGGTGTTGTGTTTTTTTTTTGTCTGGGATCAGCCTTCGGGCTACTGTTCAACAATGTCAAGTCATGACTCGGCTCGGACTACAATTTCAATGTTCACGATAATGTTGATGATTAGACGGCAAAAAGGCAAAGCCAGCCGCTGCGCACACGCCCCATGGAAGCCAAAGAAATCTCCGCGGTGGCACACACGTCAAATGCCCAATTAATCAAAGACCCAAGACCCCAAACAAAAAAAGAAGTTGAGCCGAAACGAACGTGGCTGAATAGACTTTCTTCTCTGCCTCTGACTGGTGGGGCTCATGGCACAGACGCAGACATCAATCACGAACTTCTGAGACTGCAGGGGTAGTCTTTCTTTGGTAATTGTTTCAGCTACTCCAACAGAACATATCGCCTGCATTTTGTTGTATATTTATGCTATTTATTTAAGGCTACTTTGGGGGGCGAATAATTTAATTACAAATTAGGCTTTTAACTAGTTTTAGGTGTACGTAAAGCTGCGTCCTCTCGTAAAGTCCGCTGACTAAAAGTGTGTGTGTGTGTGTAGGTGTGTGTGTGCGTTCTTAGCGGTGGTCGTCGATTGATCCCAAGGGGGCAGCGCAGCTCTCAAAGGATCAGATGTCTCGCCCGATACTTGGTCGGCAGCAGGGCCATGGGATCTGTATCCTTTGGCATCGCATCAGCAGCCTGCTGGGCCACAGCGGGCTGCTGGCTCTCTACGAACTGTCCCGTCGGGGCATAGCCGCCATAGGGATCCGAGCGACTGGCCCAGCCACCCTGTGTCTCATAGTTGTAGCTCTGTCCGGCCAGCTGTGCTTGGGTCTGGGCATTTCCATGGATGTGCAGATGGATCTCCTTGCTAGGCGGATGTCCATTTGGTCCACCGGGTCCACTCAAGCCAGTGCTGCCCCATGACTCCTTGGCATGTGGATTCCAGCCGGGATAGTTGAATGTAGGCGCCGTGTGCTCATACTGTCCAAAGAGGGTCGATTTCAGCGTTATAAACTTTCCCAAAATGGCCACGGCATTCATCAGAACCAGAACCTTAAGCAGGAACAGGGACTTCATGCCAATGGCCACCAGGAAGGCAACCATGGCCGAGAGCACACCAAACTTGAAGATGATGGGTATCAGTGCCATTTGCAGGCGGCGGATCTTGCCAAATGTACGACCCTCTGAAAGAGAAAATCATAATTCATTCATTAATTCGGGTGAGGAATTTCCGTAGGTCTAAGAAACGGCATTCCAGTTGGCAGTTTATCTACTATTATTACTATAATTTCATCAATAAACAGAGCTGAACGCCTCGGACTATGCGAAAGTCCAATAAAAAACAATTCGCAAACAATAAAACAAAACAAAAACAAAAAAAACAAAAACAAAAACCTACAAACCCACAAAAAATATGCCTGGGCAAAAATATTTTCTCATCATTTTGAAGATGAGCGAAGTTCGTTTTTTTTCCTTATTTATTTAATAAATAAGTTGATGCGGAAAGTGAAATTACAAAAGGTCCAGAGACAGACCAGACATATATCACAGCTCTGTTTTTTTTTCTCTCTTCCTCCCAATGCTTTGGTGTTAACACCTTTTAGCGTCTCTAGGCCGCTTTGTTGCTGTTGTCTCTGTGTTTGCTGCTTATCCGCTTCTGGCCCTCGCTTGAGTCAGGTTTCATTGAAAACGAAAGTGAGTCAAGAGTATGGGAGAGTAGGGAGAGCTTGAAAATGCTGGGTCTTGATTAGAAGAGCCGCTAATCATTTAAGAGGCAGAGATGTAATCAGCTTTGAAATGGTAGACAAAGTCGAGCATCGCCACTGAAGCCGATTACACAAATAGTTCCACTAATTGTTGTAAATGTTTTCATGCTTTGATTTCTTAAAGAGGAAGAGGGAGAGACTCACCCACAGCTGAAGTTTCAGTGCCGGCTGATGGCTTCTTCTCATCATCGTCATCGCCGAACAGGCTTTCGCCCAGATCGCTGCGCAGCCAGCTCCAGAGTGTGCGCACCATGCCCCAGACACTGAGATCGGTGGGGTCTGTGGCCGCCTGTACGGCAGTGGGGTTCTTGCTGCCACTAGTTGTTACTGCTGCCTCTTTGTCTGCCTCCTCATCATCATCCTCGTCGTCGTTGTCGTCGTCGTCGTCGGTTTCCGCCTCATCAGCTTCCTCCTCCTCGTTGGCTGCTGGGGCTGCCTCCTCTACTGCAGGTGTCTCTGCTTTTTCACCAGTCGGCGAGGGTTTTTCGACCTTTTTTGTTATCTTGGCGCTAAAAGCACTGCTCAGGCAGCAGAAGGCCAGCAACAGCATCAACAGTGAGTGCCTCGCACTTGAACTCTTTGTGAGAAACTGAAAGTGGAACCAGAGAGAAATTATATCAGTACGCTCGAGTGTGTGTCTCTCATTGTCTAGGAATGACAGCGAAGCGAAAACAAAAACAAAACAAAAAGAGACGCTTAAAAGCCATTTCATCATTTCCAGTTCGGATTCGGATTCAGGTTCGGGCTTGGGCTTTGGCTCTTAAGAGGTGCGGAAATTGCGTAAACAAAAGACTTGGGAAACGAACCTGTCTGTGTTGCCCTGTTAAACGCATTTTAGAATCTACTTTAAACCAAAACCCAAGCCCAATATGCGAGTACAGCCCAACCGTCTGGGACATACTCGTAAAACCTTTTATTGGGGTACACCTCCCCTCCCATACAACTATGGGTGCGAAAGCATTTCCCATTTTGAACTGTTGCATAATATACGAGTATTTCTTCTTTTGCCTTTGACGCCAATGCCGCTGGCAATTTATATGTAAATTTAAAAAAGGTTGCCAAAAAATACATATCTGTCGGATACTGTATAAAAATGTGATTTGACTTTGATTTATATTTGACGCATTTGCCGGACATAACTGAAGTGAAATTTAAGCCGGTTATTAGGTCCACAGATCTGGAAAATACACAGCAATGGGTATCCTGCTTTTTCAAAGGAAAATAGAGTCAAAAATGCTTAGTCCATAACTTTAAAAGGAAACCTTGAAAGAAACTTTTAAAAGAATATCATAGAAAACCCATTAATTCTTCCCCCTTCCACTTTCAAACTAATTTTTTTTATTTCACCCATTAAAACTATAAATTTGTAAAACATTTAGCATTCCCACTTTTAAACTTTTTGTCTTGGACAACATTTAGTTTTGGTTAAACAGCTTCCCCGTAAAGTGAAATTTAAATATGACCTAGCCCGAAATTTCTTTCCCAGAATGCTTACAAAAAAAACTGAAAGTCATTGGATTGTTAGAGCTTTCCATTTCCAATTCACCTGCAGAACAACACACAAAAATAAAATTGAAGTAACCAATTTGGGGGAATACAACTAAGCTAAGCAAAAAGATATTCGCCCAAAAGCCCTAACAAAAGAGTAAACAAATTATGTGGATCTAACGGTTGGCTTCGTTCCCCAGAAAGATAAATCATCGTTTCGTTGGACATGTTTTAATTAACGAAAAGAATTTGCATGCCAAAACTGAGAAACGGAGAACTGAACTGGAGAAATGTTTCGGCTTCGACATAATTTGTGTGTCGCTTTGCATTATCTAATAAAAAACTTTAATTTTAGGTCTCCCATTGTGAGGCCTCTTTGTCAAAAATTCACCTCATTCGCCTGTTAGTAGGCCAAAACGCTATTGTGCTCAATTTGTTGTGGTTGAAAACTGTAAATGGAAATCTATTTTGGCATGGCCTTGATTCAGTTTACAGCGATGCGGTGCACAAAATTTAATTAAAATTCGATAAGGCGAATGCAACTGGAGAGAAAACAAAGAAAGAAAGTCTTTCTCTTCTGCAGTGATGCAACAGTCATAGAAATGCATTTATAGACAATAATGTGACCGATCGACATTTGCATAATTTTCCATTTCAGATTGACAGACTGACCGCAGTTTTTCCAGCTTAGTTTCACTTCTGATTTGTTTCAAACTCACACGAAGCCCATCCCACTCCATTAATTAGCATCTTCTGGGGCTGTTTCATCATCGCTGTGAAGAGTATTATCCAATCTGACTCAGCTCTTGGGTGAAATTTCATTCGATTTAAGCTGCGTTTTATGTAAATATTAACCGAAAAAAAACAGGCTGGCGGCTGCCTCAAATATTTGCACTTGCTGCTGGGCCGAGATATCGCTGCGAATTCCAGAGAATTGACGTTAAAAAGTTGCCGATTATTATTGTTGCTAAATGTGGAAAGAAGATCTCTGCCACAGAGAAATCCAGATCCACGTTTAATAGGAAAATCTCCACAATAAAACCATGACAATTATTCTCTAACTCCCATTTATCATATTATTTCCACTAATTTGCCAATAATTTGACGCCGTTTTTGTTCTGTCTGTCTGGGTCTGAAAATACCCTAAATTAACCAAATTACAGCTAAAAGCCATAAACATTATATAGCACACACAATACTTTGTTTATTTTAGCCTAATTCAACCAATAAAATATTTATTGTTTTATGGTTTAATGGCAAATGAATTAAATTAGTATACGTAGGTAGGCATAAATTCCCTAGACTTTCTTTTCGCATGGGTGTATCAAACATTATTTACCAGATTTTATTACCTACATAAAAAAAGCAACACACGCAGCTCAGTTTATCTAAGATAATTATAATTATGAATCTGAGGCACGACTTTCTTTGTTTATGGCTGTTTTGCAGCCATTATGCAATTGAGTGGCACGTGGTTGAGGCCAGGCCACATTTTTTTTAATACTTGACCATTATCTAATGTCCATATAAAATGTCGCAGTTCATGACACGGGCCATATGGCTCCACTTTTGGTGGAGGGGCAAATAAATGGCAGATGGTGTGGAGTTACAGCCAAGATTTGAACAACAATTGAAAACTGGCCACGGAATGAAAACACGCCTCAAAAGAAAGTTTTTGGCTAACACAAAACAAGTACACAACAAAACAGACGAAGATTGTGGCCAAGAATTTGTCATTTGGCATTTGTCACACTAGCTTTTTGGCCTTCATTTGGGCCTTTTGTGTGTGGCTCCTTTTGAGCTGGGGATTGGGGTAAAGCGGACACTGAACGCGTGCCTGACATGCCAATGGCTGACGAGTACGTATGTATCTATGGTTGCGCGTGTTCGAGGGGGATTCCCCCAATTTCAGACTTACCATTTTTTAATGATGGCTCAGACTCTGTGATCTGTGGCTAATTGGTGCCTGACTCTCGCACAGGTGGTTGGTACCGAGTATCCTTAGTTATTTCTGATTCAATTGGCAATTGTAGCGCCGGGCAATGAACCACTTTCACGCCAATCTATGGCAAACACGCAACGTGATGGCCAAAAAATAAACACACACGAAGCACAGCAGTAGCGTGGCCAATAGAAGAAGTGTATTTTGGCCAAGGAGTGCTCTGTATTTGGCCAAGATTAAGACGATGATTGAATCCGTATCGAAAGAGATGGTTGGCTAGAGAGGCGACTGCAATGCTTGAGATGTACCCGCTGACTGCCAGTTGGCGCTGGCCCCAGCCAACAGGTAAGGTCCGCGCGTCTGCGTCTTCGTCTCGACTATCGGCTCTCCGTTTGGACGGGTCTCTGTCTCTGTTTTGGCCAGCGCTTCTTCGGCTTGTTTGCTTTGGCCCCACGCTCTCCCAGAGCCAGTTGGCTGGCGACAGTGATAGAGACAGAGAGGCGCGCGCTCTTCCAGTTACAATTTCGTTTTCAACACTTTCTTCACAATTTCCCCTAAACGGCAGCGGCAGCAGCAGAAGATCAACCAACATCGAGTCGGTCCGGTTGCCACCAAAATAAAAAAGTCAAAAAAAACTGCAAAGTCAATGTCGCCGCTCCATGTCCATATCTCTCTGTATTTCTCTCTTCCTGTATCAGTATCTCCATCTCGTTTTGTGCATGTTTAATGCCTTTGTATTACGAACTATCGTGCAATGGCACAGAGCATGAACGAACGTGACAAAACGCACAGCTGACGTCACAAATAACTGAGAGTACTCGCACGCGAGTCGCGGTTGCAGTCGGACCCACACCCAGTCCCAGTCCCAGTCCCAGTGCCCTGCAATGCTGCTCTCATTTACTCTTCCTTTCCCGCTGCCTGCTCCTCTGCTGCCTCGCTGCCTGCTGCGGCTCTGCTGTTGGCTTATCTCTTCCACTGATCTTCCACTGCAGCTGCTCTGCTGCTCCTTCGCATACATCTGCTTTTAAGCACTGGCTAAACGAAGCAGCGCGCTGCAGTTTGCAGCTTTTAATCATCACTTGGAATAGGAATTGCTCTCTTGCTCTTCGATTTCAATTTCTGTTCTGTTTATGACCCTGCTTCTCTTTGTGCAGCCTTGCAGAAGGTTTAACGAATGCAGAAGCATAGCATTGCAGTGCAAGTCTAATTTTCAAAGGGTGAAATCTAAAAATTCAGATCTGCAGGTCAAGCAAGCCCGCTGAAATGCTGTAGCTGAAATAAATAATATTTTAAAGTCATATAAGTCACAAAAAGAGCATTTAGAGGGTGTTTGAAAATAAATCTCCTTGGGCTTTCTCATTTCGTGCTTTTGGCCGTAGTGTGTATGGTAGGTATGGGCGGGGGTAAAGTGATGGCAAACATTTTTGCCGGCTACGCTTTACACGATCTCCGTCGCTCTCAGACTTGGCTGCGGCTTTCGTGATTGTCTTGACCCATTTCCCCACTACGCAGGTTTCTCACTCTCTCTCTCTCCACTCGTTTACGCATGCCACACTCCCAGGGGGCATTCATTCGATCCATTCACATTCACTGAAGATCATCTGTCTCGCTTCTCATCTCGTCTCGTCTCGCGTCTCCCCAGTGGATTTGCATGATAAGGCACGCAGCATTTCTTTACATCAATAATAATAGGTTAGAACTTTTAGAACTTTAATAGCCTTTTCTGATCAGATGCAAATGGTTTGATTTGTGGCTTATAATTGTCACAGTTCCATGAGGAAGTTACAGTTAAGTTAACCAAAACTTTTAATCGGAATGTTGCTCCAGAAACGAAACATAAAGATTGTGTTCGAGCTGGTTGACATTTTATGATCATGCCAGTTTATTGTCATTACATCAAATAATACGTGGAGTATTGTGCCACATTTTGTCAGTTACATAAATAAACATAAAGAGAGACCGGCGGCCGGCCACTGTCGGTCATAAGTTCCAAGTTGAGAGACAAGTTCGTTGCTCTGTCTGATGTCTGATGCAGTGTAATACCCAGAGCTTGAGTTTGTCCAAATCATTACATAATGGCACCCCACCCAACTGGAACCTGGCGATGGTGTGTGAAAACCGTTAAGTACATGAAACGCACCTCTGGATGTACCTCTCTGCTGAGTTCAGGTTCACGTTCACGTTCAGGGTTCAACTGTAGGTTGTGTGTCGTCTGTCTGTGGAGGTTCAGGTTATTCGGGGTTCAGCTCGCTTTGCTCTGGGTCTGGCTTTAATGGGACTTTCCTATGCCCAAAAAAAAACCTATCAGAGAGTTTCATTCATTGGAACGCTCTACTCCTAACGGTTCTCACACCTTTTGACGGTTGATCTGATGCTCTGGCTATCAATATGGATACGGCCATAAAATTTGCATTTTGATGAAGGTCTTTATCATAATCGTTTCCGTAGAGCTTCTTTGAAGAACTGTTCCCAAGTAATTTGCTATCTTAGGCGATTCAATTACATTACAGAACGATGGTATGGCATTACTTTTCTGATTTATTTTTATTAACTGAACAACACAAAAGACCCCCTTCCTTTATTTCGGTTTACTTTCGACCCCAATTCGCCTGATAGACCTTAGCATAATAGCTCTGCCAGTTGGGATTGCTCAGCGAGGCATATGGATTGTTATAGTTGTTGTTGTTGTACACCGGATACAGATACTGGCCGATCACATAGGGCCAAATGCGTATATTTGTATTGGCATAAGGACTCGGTGTCGTATACGTGCTGTAGTAGTAGGGATACGGCGTCGTCTGGTAGTAATATTGATTCAAACTGGAGAATGTTGGACTGGGCGTGTAGTACGGATTGTACTGTGTATAGTACTGGGCAGTTGTCAGCTAAAATAAAAGTTAGATATTCGTTAGATGTCGCGTTTTTAAATCCGTTTGTGGGCAGAGAACACTTACCGCCAGTAGGCAGGCAATCAATAGCCAGGAGAGGCAGCAACTGTAGCTGGATTGGTGTGACATTTTGTATGATGGAGCTGTGATTTCCTACTAACTATGTTGGGCTCTGACTTTCCCAATTTATAAACCCCGAGGGGTGACAATTTCACGCACTGATGCTGGATGGCAATTTTCTCAATTAACTTTGTTTTGCACTGCCCCTTTTTTTTGGTGGCACTCAGCATTTCGTCATTGAACTTGACTCATGCGCCGGGTAACGTTCGGTGCCAGTAACCAACCAGTGATGGTTGGTGAGGTTGTTTACCCAGTGGGTGGATTGTAGCTCAGCCAAGCCCAGCTCAGCCCGGTGGATTCCCGTGACGTAAAAGGATGGAAAATAATCATCCAAAACACTTTGTTTCTTGGCCATAAATTAGTCAATTAATTATGAGTAGCATTTTGGGGTAGCTGCTAATTTGATTTCGTTTTTATTTCGTTTGAAGTTTGCTTACAAATACGAAGATTATTTGTAAATTATACAATCCGCAGTTGTACCGGAAGTTTTTGTGGGAATGCAAATGGAATTGGAAATGGTAACGGGTAATGGGAGGGGGGGATTGGGGGACGGGACCATCTCTATATACATTATATACACAACACGACTCCTACTCTTCATCTTCCTCGGTCTCTCTCTCTATATCTCTATATCTATCTCTATCTTTACGCAATTAGACTAAAATACAAAAATTACACAACGAAACTCAACAAAATTGTCAACAAGTCGCTTAAATTAATTCAATTCATCCTCATTTCATTTCATGGAATTTTTTACAGAATTCTATTCATTCAGGGCATTTTAATTTAATTAGTTTGTTGCTTTTGGAAAGACAATAAATATTTAGTTAAGTGCAAATCGTTTTAGTAGTCCTCATCGTCTTCATCCGGCGGATCTGTGGCATAAGTCAGTTCATTCAGATAGAACCATTTCTATCGGATATAAACCAATGTAGCAATTAGTTATAGATATAGTTAGATATATGGACAGAGATGTATCACTTACGGGTGACTCTGTGCAATTGAAATTGTAGTCCCAATCACAGATTCTGTATTCCTGATTGAAGCTCGTCTCGTTGGCGCAGAGATGTGGAATCCGATTGCCCTCCTCGTCGCACATATGGAAGATCTGTCAGAGCAGACACGATAAAAGTTAGCATACTTTCAGGCATCAAAAGAAAAGCCAAGCCAGACTTGAGCTTTCCCTCCCTCTGTCTCTTTCTCACCTGGCAATTGTACTCCATATCGGCATAGAAGCCCACCGATCGCCTCTTGCAATCGAATGAGAATGTTATATTATCTAAATTCGTCCATTCCTTCGTCTTGTGATTTTGAAATACTGGACTGGCTGGCTCTTGGCCTTGTACCGCAATGGCGGCCAGCAGGATAGGAGCTGCATACAAAATATATATGGATAAATGTAGGATAACTCAATATTAAAAGATAAGAGATAACAGTAGTGGTAGCTGTTTCGGTCTCCATTGTATAGATAAATAGTTCTTAGCTTGGATTGACAGGTTGCTTGGTTGATAAGTTGCTTTATATATAATACACTTAATTATATTCCAAGACCCATAATATTTCCATTAACATTCTCTACATTTGCTTGTTTCTTGAAGAGTTTTATTTTGCTAATTGTCGTGTGTCTCCCTTCCAATTCTTGCACTTTGCCAGCTGTGTGTTGCCTGCCTGCTTTGCCTCTTTCTTCTCTCCATCTACAGGCCATGGCCAATTCCATAAGTTATTTGGCTCACGCATGGCCCAACACACAATAACAAAGCGGGCCAAAAACAAAACCCAATACCATTCGGTTAACCAACCTCAACGTGAATGGTTTAATCGACGCACTTAGCATTTAATTTGTGTCTCCGTCTCTGTCTCACTGTCTCTATGTCTGTCTTTCAACGTCTCCGTCTTGTAGTCTCCTATTGGGGACAGGTACTCGTCGTACTCGTACTCACCTAGTAAAACGCCGGAAAGCCATAAAATTCTATAACTGTAAACCATTTTTGTGGCGTTGGACATTTTGGCGTGAATTTTGTTTCTCTGGCTCGTTTGAGGTGTTTCGCCTCTGGCTCTGTTCGATATCACGATGGAAATCCAAATCACGCTCTCGGCTCTCACTCTCTCTCGCTCTCTTGGGCCGTTTGCTACGCGTCCATTTAGTTGGCTCTTCGGTTGTCAATTAGGAATCGGTGTCTATGTCTATGGCTTTTGGCTTATGGCAGGCACATGGCTGAAATGAGAAAACCAGAAAAATGTTGAATTAATTTTTGAATGAATTTCAGATAGATAGAAAGAAGTTTGCAACGTTTTAAAAGGAAGCAAAACAAATCAAATCAAATCAAAGCATTTGCAAGCTTATGAATTTTGTTTATTCCTAATGATCTTTTATGGCCGTAGGTCCAACTGTTTGTGAGTCTGTTATTTTTACAAAACAAGTCACTCAGGTTTTGAGTAAATTCACTGAAAATTGGGACAGCAAAAAATAGTTATAATTGCAGCAGAAAGTATAGTATATCCGGGAAGTTCGGGAACATTCCTAGTGTTGCTTATGTACGATTTGTAGATCATAGATTAGAGATAAATATGGACGCTTAGATGAGTCCACGAGCGGCTATGAAATACTTCGTGGATTTTATATAAATACATAAATTAAATAAATAGTCATCAGATTCTGCCAGTTATAAATCAGGGAAAGAACTGAGCAGCTTGCCTTTCTTTTTTTTTTAATTTCATTGAAGGCTGGCTTACAGCCTATTACAAAATCAAAGCCCAGACATGATGCCAGCCAGACAGACGGCTAAAGCTTAGACACAATTTACATGCCGAACCCACGCCCAAACAAGCTCAGAGATTGACTCATCAAGCCGGATGCATCAGCTTCTTCGTTAATTGATTTTGTTTCGATATAAGAAAGCCACTCAAAAAACGAGTACGGCTATGGGTAACAGATACACACCTTTTCTTCGGAATACAACAGGATATACTTAATTTTGTGCGGTGACCCACTTTGGTGTCAATCAGAATTCTATGACTTCTGCTGACTAATCGTCGACAAATATTCAAAAATGTTTCATAATAATATTTCACATCAATCAAAAACTGTCAAATTACCAATGAATGAGAGAGGGCGATGGAGGGGGGTTGTTGGACTATGGCCAAGCATTTGAAATGCTTTAAACGCCATTAAAAGACAATCAGTCAATGGCAGATCCAATCAGCAAATAGATTCTATTTATGCAAAAATTTTCAGCGTTTTGCTTTCCGTTTCTTTCTTTTTGGAATTGATTCATATTTTATTTGGGTATTTTTATGGTTTTATTGTTGAAAGATGTGAAAGAAGGCCAAGAAGGCGACTGCGCGGCCTTGCAGCCTCAATTAAATTGTCAAATTGGTCTGGTCTGGAGGAGAATCGGAGCTTAAGTCTGGGACTGGGAGCTGAGCGATTGGCGATTCCCTTGATTAACTTTTATTGTAAGTATGTACCTCCATTTGGGATCTTTCACTCGGGGCATGAGGCATGGGACTGGGACTGCGACTGCGACTGAGGTAAGGTAAATCCTTGACATTTTACTGGAATTTATGGCCTCTGGATGCGTAGATGACGTCGATTGCCATCGCCATTGCCGCACAAAGGCCATGCCACGAAAGATCGCAGACGAAATAATCGTAAATTGTTTTTGTCTTGGCCTCCCGCGCAACTAATTTTCCTGGCACTGACTCCTGGCTTCAGGAGGGGAGGAGCAGTGTGCTGTGGCTGTGGCTGTGGCTGCTGCTGCAACCGGCTATGTCTGGCCTGCAAGCCTGCCCCCCTGCCACAAAAATGAATGATATGCAAATTTTTGCCTCTCTTAAGCCGAGTCCGTGATGAAGTGAAGGCAGGTCTTAAGGCGACGTAAAAGGTCATCAGTGCCCGGGCCCGGGCCAAGCAAAAAGTCATCTTCACGCAAAACTGGAAAACATTTTATGGAACGTTTGGCAAGGAGACGGCGACGTGGGAGAGGGGCATGAACAAAGAGGCGCCTCCAAGATGACACAGCAGCAACAGCTGTCCGTCTGCCCAGGGCCCCCGTTGGTCCATCTGCTATTACTCTGTCTTTCACCTTTTCGACGGACTGTCTGACCATGGCGCCTGTGACAAATGCCAAAAGAGAGGCACCCTCGCTGCCACCACTTTGGTGGAGCATCAGCACCCCTTGCTTTTTATGTGTTTTTTTTTTAATATTTCCGTAAAGTGGTCTCAAACGTAATTCAAGTTGGGTTTTTTGTTTTGTGTATTTGTGGGATTTTGGCTAATGGGAAAACACTCTTCAAGCGGCTTCACTTCATCACCGACGCCTACAAAATCCTTAGCAGTCATTGAGCCAAGAGGTAATTGATTTTAACGGATTTTAGACACGATTGTTTGAGGCGCTATCAGTGGCGGATTTAATGGTTTATTTAATATCATTTTAGTGAGTAGTTTGGGATGACTTTCTTGATAAATAAATGATTATTATAATATGATTTTTTTGGTTCTTCATGGGTGCTTTTAAGTTGATAGAATTGACGGCTTTATCCGTTCGAAAACCCATAAAAAGGGATTTATTTTCGCCTTTCTCTTGAATATAAAGATTTATAACCCATGTTCTATGTACTATCACTGCCACTACTGTCTCTTAAAAGCATATTTCCCAAATCCTTTCCATTCTTTCCATTTCTCAAGTGCATTTCAAGAGCATTCAAACTTCGTTCTTGGGGTCCAACGAGTTTCCCCCATGATGATAGCTGATGGGATATCCCCCTGTAATGTACATCGCATCGTCACTTTTGACATTTTCTGACAAGCGTGAGAAGCGAAGCGACTGCTAAAAGTACGAGAGAGAGAGAGACACTCGTACCGAGAAGAGACCCTCTAGAGACGCCATCGGGTATGGTCGTCTATCAATTTGCTGTGGCTGGTTGACTCTTGTTGTTTGGGTACCTCCTTCGTGCCACCAGCATTCCGTGGGCCTCGTTGCAAGTGCAGCCACACATTCTGCGCCTTGTCGCACAGACACATCTGCATTCCGCAAGCATGTGCGACATTAATTTTTTAAACCATTTTGAAAGTCCCATTTTAGCTGATTGTTGCTTTTGTCGGTTGTTTGGCGTTTCGTTGATTGGATTTGCGGCTAATTCGGAAGTTTGTTGGCGTTGTCTTGCGAAACATCGCACTAATTTGTTAATTTCTGACGCGTAACCGAAGGCGCAATGTTTTATGAGCGGTTTTTGGGCACCCCCAGTAAGTTTATGCAAATTTTCTCAAATTATTTTATTTCTTAATGAAGCAAAAACAACAAAAACACTGGGCAGATGAGTAGGAAAGAGTTTTGTTCGAGGTCGAAGTTGAAAATACTCTTTGGAATACCCCAAGCTAAGAATGTTAAGCTAAAGTCTCTTGATGCAATCGATTCCTGATTATAGGAAGCAGACAAGAACACAGGTTCGAAAATCCCTTCTTTCTGTCTGAGAAAATCAAAACAAAAACGCAAAAAGTTTATTCAAAATTTCCTTCACCGCCAAAATGCAACAAAGTAAAGAGTCAACCAAAAATAAAAAGGAAAAGCTGAGACAATTATTTCACCGTTTTATGTGTGTGCATGCGTGTGCGTTTGTGTGTGTGGCAGCGGAAGCACCGCTAATTGGCGGAACTGCCACACAGCAACAGCAACAACAACAATGGATAAAAAGAAAAGCAAAAGAAATATGTTGAAACGACCAAGCGATGGAGATGGAGATGACGATGACGACACCTGAGACGGCTTATTGCCACCGCGCCCCAAAGGGGATCCGGCGCGGGATCGGATGGACTTACATAAGCCCCATAGGCAGCTGGCAAAAACATGGCCTAATCATCTCAACCGACTCCCAAGTAGCAATTGATTAGGCCGAACGCGTTGACACCTGGACAACTGGACAACATTTTGCACAGACACACATTTTTCAACGCCAACAACTGACACAACAAAAGGCCAAAACAAAAAGCAAAGTGGATTCCGTTTAATTGAACAGCCGGCCAACAGCGAAATGGGAAAACTTGTTGCGCCGGGGGCTACGGGTACCAGATCGACCGGCATGGGGGATGGCACCAGCCCGATCCCGCTCAACCCAAACCGCTATGCCATATGGGGGCTTCCGCCCGCTCCGACCGATTTTTGGCCTTGAAAATTTCGGTACGCAGAAATGCGCTTAATGCGAAAAATCAATATCGCTAAAAACACAAGCGCACACACGCTGGCATACCCCGATACGGGTATATTCCAGCTGCAAATCAACAGAAACTAAAAAGAAAATAAAAAGTTAAAAGTTGATCGCTCTGATCAGAAAAACCGAAAACCGGCTCGGACTCGGACCCGCACTAAACGAAGCGATTAAAGCAGATTTATAAACGAAACAGCTACGCCAAAGCACCCACAAAAAAAAACATACATATATATAAACAAAAAAAAAGCACAAGAAATTAAAAAATAAATAAATATACGAAAAAAATAATAATTTAAAGGCAAGCTAATTAATACCTAAAAATGTTACATTTTGTGATAAAACCTCAACAAACAATACAATTACCAAAAGTTATCTATTAGATACACTTTTGACACAAGCTCTACCCATAAGCCCAGACCGTAATCCCTATTCAAGTTATTTAATTAAAATCTCACCAGCTCAACAAAATGAAATGTAATCTGCTTAAACGAAGGCAATAAAAAATTAATTTATTGATCTATAAAAGGTGAAAATACCATCGTCCACACATGTGGGAAATGAATTGTCACGGAAAGTTCAGAAATAACTTGTTTGACACTGTGGAAAATATAATCCAATTACTTATGATGGCTTTACCGAATGCAGCATAATTTATGGTTTATATAACCATATTTTAACAGATCCAAGTGACAAACTATCAATTACAGATAATGCAAGGGGATGTGAACAGGTCTCTATGAATTTCCGATTATATGGAGGGTTTGATTAGGCCTAAGTTTTTATTTATTTAATTATTATCAAGGTTCTCCACCCAAAAAGAAGAACAGTCCTTGGTAGCAGTTACTTTTCGATTAACTTTAATAATACCCTTTGTTGTTAAACGTATAGGAAGTTAAGGCGGGGAACACACAAAGCGAATAATTAATTAAAATTCCATTAAATGCGTAGAGAGATATCCCCGAGAAGCATTGATCGATCGATCACACAATGCCAATTCAGTGATTTAAATGCCATCAGCAGCAGATGCCCATGCCGACCTCTGGCAATAATGCTGACAACAGTAACAACCAACAAGAAACAATCACAAAAGACGGATCAGCTACCGATCCGAGTGTCTGTGTCTGTCTGTCTGCAGCAGCAGGTTTGCCTAGCTCTTGGGCTATCTGACCCGCCAGATATCCCAAGACAAGACGGCAAGACGCTGGTGTCCATCCGTCATTAACATATCAGCATTTGTGCTTCAGCAGAAATAACAATCGTTACAAGGGCAACACACCACAGCCATAGCCAACATCTGATGATAATGATGATGATGAAGAAATTGTTCAGTTATCTGGGCAGAGATACTCATGGCATGGTGTACATACATATGTGAGCAGATACTCGTATTTTTAGATTCGCTAAGGTAACATCTCATTGAAGTTGTTATTGATTGATCGCCTTGCTGCCGTGCCCCGAGCCCGAGCCCAAGCCCGAACCCTATCCCTGTCCATCCTCTCAATAGCAGGCAGCCCAGAGCTCATGGCAACTCATGTGATTTCTAGTGCAAATTGTGGCCAGTGGCTGGCGATGACGAGACGCCTTTGAAGTGGGCATTAGGCCTGCATCCCATAGATACAAAGATACTGGCAAAAACCAAACCAATCATCTTGTTGTTGCGGCAGCGGCCACGGAAACCAAAATTGGACGGACGCACAGGCAACGGCATTTTTTATTTATACATTTTATTTTGCAATCTTGTATTAAATTTTAAACTTCAAACTTGTCCAACTTGTTGGTTGGTATCGTACATATCTATAGAAAAAAAGGTGTGATATTGAGCTCAACTTTTGGTTAAGGTTAGGAAGGCTGAATTGATAGAGTGTAGATAGAGAGGTAGGTCTCTTCAAGATTCCCAAGATCTTTCGCGTCGCCTTGGAGATACATTTTTGAATGCTCTTTGTAGCAGACATGCTGTGATTGTTCTGGAAGATTGCCTTCATACTTCTTCTCAAAATTTTAATTCAAATCTTTCCATAACAATCTTAAAATCTGTTCAAAATTCCATCGATTTCAGTGACGCACGCATCCAGAATTATTTTAACATAAAATTGAATAATTTATCTGTTCGAATTGTTAATAAATGTTGAATTTTGTTAGCTGCCAAAATAAAATCGCCAGAGCGGCCGTTTATCTGGGTTGGTTGGGTTGTTGCTTATAAAAATAAATTCTGGTTTGATTTCTCAATTGGCAGAGTAATGTGAACCGGTTGGCAAATCCAGCGGTTGGCTGTGCTTTGCGGTGCGGTGCTGAGAAAAACCCTTTTGGTCGAGTTCAAGGCTCGCCACGTGTCGTATACTTAATGTGCCGGCACTTGAGTCGGTGCACACGTTGCAATACGTTCGGGCAAACGCTTTTCACACAATTAAACAGCAGCCAGAGCCAGCAGGCAGCATTAACTAACCGACTGGTAATGTGGCAGCCATAAATTTTATGTAAATCGCGTTGCCTTTTTTTTTGTTCGTTTCGTGTAGCTTAAGTTTTATTGCAGCTAAAGAAGAAAACGGTACAGACGAGACGCTAAACAATGCAAATAAATTACGGCTTCTGCTGGCGATGCTGGTGCTGGTGCTGCGGGTGCGGATACTTTGTAAATACTGATGTGCAATTGAACGCAGAGATTCGCACGGATATGCACACACTGAAAGATACACACAGACACTGCAAAGATTTTCCAAGAATGCGGCAAGCGGGTGGCTGCTGCTACTGCTGCTGCTGCTGCTGCTGCTGTGACTCTCAGACTCCACTCTCAGCTGCCGCCTGTAACTGCTGCTGTTACTGCATTTAACTTACACTTAAATAACCACAATCCTAAACAACAAGTTTTTTTTTTCATTTCTGTTTTGTTTTTGTCGAAGTCATCGATTGCATTCAGCTTTTGGCTTTGTCTGGCACGAACAGAAAATGCAAGTGAGCTTCGAGCTAAGCAACTTGGCTGGCTTTAAATTTTTCTTGCAATTTACTAGAAGAGCCCATATCCGTTTTGCGTCAAAAAATACTATATATAGTGAGTTCAGCGAAAAAATATATTAAGCCATAGCTCTGATTGCAAATTATATACAGAAATCCCCCCACTAATACGGCATGAGATTCCTTTCTATGGAATTATCAATTAGGTTTCGTTTTCTACCAAAACAAGTTTCTTTTACTGGGAAGGTCAAGACAGCAAAAATCTCTAAAAAAAATGCTCGTTTCTATAACGAATAAATATGGCATGATACTTGAAGCTATACATTTTCACACCAGTTTCATTGGTGTTATTTTCATTGGTGTACACAATTTGTTCATCATTCTACCTCTCTATTTTTATATATAACTCCTACACACCTACGTTTCCGTTACATTCCAATCCATCTTTCTGTTTAGCCACCTTTCGAAACATAGCATCTCGATACTGCTTGTTGGATATTAGATACTAGATGCAGAAGTTTCTACCTAAATATTTTAGTTTCTTAAACATTTTCGTTATGTTTTACTACTACAAAAACAAAACACAAATATGTTGAATACATGAAAGATTTATGGAATGAGCGTGCCTCGTTTGTACCTTATTTATTGATGGAGATTATTTCGACACACAAAACTATATATTCTCACAAATAATTAATATTAATGATGGCGATAATTTTATAATATTTTATAAAATTAGTGATCCATTCATGAATAAAACAAATATTCGACAATATTCGCAAAAGATTTATGCTGATATTTATATTCTTAGATGCGGTATTTATTTCGTAGCTTCCCAATAGATTGCCACGAAAATAGCTAAATATTTGCTTGATGAAGATTCTGTAGATGTTAAATTTATATTCTACAGATTCTTCTATCATAGAAATCTAATAAATCACAAAACCGTTTAGCTTGAAAGCGAAATTCCTTTCCCTCTCAATTGTCTATAGAAAATTGTGTATAGAAAAAACCTTCGTGAGTGGATTGCAGTCTTGGTCTTGGATCATCTACAGAGCTAGCCGCGGGGGCAACTTGTTTTCTTGTTCTTTTGCATATTTATGTGGCGCTGTCCACTTGCTGGTGTGCTGTCATCATGGCTGCTGAATGGCAGCGGCCTTAAAGCGCCCGTCTGAAGATCCCCCCTGGGCGAGATGCTTACGCAAATTTGCTCCGATTTGTGACAAATTTGGACCGTGTGGCAGAGCCGGGGCATTGAATTATGCTAATGGCGCCGATAGCGATACATCATTATGTGCGTGGCGATGGCATTATGTAAGCGCCACAAAATGGGAGCACACGCATTGTATAAGAGTTTCTGCTGCTGCTGCTGATGATGCTGCTGCAGGCTGCAACTTGCAGCTGTGGGAGGGCCTACCTACCTTTTTGGAGATTGCACTGGAGGAGGCTGCGGGGTAAATCCAAAAACCGAGATAAAAAATCCACAAATGTTTAAGGCACTGCAATAAAACGACTTTCGTGCCAAATCTCGAGGCGGTCGCTTAATTATTTTTGAAAACGCATTTGCATAAGATTTTTGTTGTATTATTTTGTGGGATTATTTTTCGGCTGCTGCTGCTGCTTCTTTTTTTTTGTATTTATGTAATAAATTTTGTTTCTACTTTTTAGTTGGAGGCGAGCACTGGAAAAACTATTTCTATTACGATGGCTGTTTCACCACCCCACAAGCAAACGGCAACAATAAATTTTATATATAAATATTGCTTTGCTCTTTCTTCACACGCACACACACACACACACGCAGACAATCGCTGAGATACACGCGCACCGTCTGGAGTATCGCGTATCCGTCAAATGCAAAGATACAAAGCCAAAGACAAAGCAACAACCGTTCGCTGGGGCACACGTCGCACGAATAAAACGGCCAAAAGACTGCCGAGCCAGAGCCAAGCCAAACACTTGACGGAGGGGCCGCAAAAAAAAACAAAATAAAAAACACCAACCAAAAAGCCAAAAGGAAACACAAAATTCAAACACAACAAAGCCACAAAAACAGAGGCGAAATGAAAAGTGTTTCTTATGGTTTGAATTTTTGTGTTTGGTTTTTGCTTTTGGATCTCCGTGTTGATTTTTGTGGTGTCTTTCAACGGGGTTTTGGCCAATGCATTTGTGTGTCTGCCTGTACGTTTTGGCCTCGTTTGCTTACGGTACGGCTGCGACTGCGATTGCGATTCGGAACGGGACTGGGACTGGAGAGACGATCGATCGTCGTGAAAACGTTTGCAAAGTCAGCGCTCAACTGGTTCGCAGGCCGCCGCTCAAATTGGTTTTATACGCGGATGCCCCAAGCTGAGCGGAGCGGACCAGACCAGACCAGAGATTCAGAGATTCATTGCATTCGCAATTGCCAAAGAGCCAAAGAGCTACCCAAAGAGCTCTGGTCCAAAAGAGAGGAGAGCCATTGAGGTAGGTTGAGCGCATGCGCAGACTCCACTTTTGTGTTGAGTGCTGCCAACCTGCTCTACTCTCCTGCTGTGTGCCAGTGGCAGTGCTGCCTATTCGGTAGAGTTTTGCTGCCTGCGACTGGGACTGGGATTCTTTAGTTCGAACAAGTTTCATTCAAAATTTTAGCCAGCCTTTAAGGTCTTCTTAGTCATGCTGAGTTCATGGCTAATTGAAATGCGAATAGCGATGAACTTGTTCTAACTTCGAATGCGTCAGAATTCACTTACCAGTTCTGCAGAATCTACTCTTTTATTACCCCAAATACTCTTCCTAAAGGTAGGGCTGTTAGGGGGAGAAGTTTGCCTAAAGAGATAGGGAGAAGATGTTGACTAAAATCATAGACAACAAAATATATTTCAGCAAGAGATCAAAGCTTCAATTAAAGCAAAACAAAGTGTATTCTAGGCATAGACTTTACCCACAGCCGCTGTCCTTCCTTTCTCGTTTTCAATTAACATAATTAAAAAAGTAAAGGCGAGCAAAAGCAAACCACAAAATGTATAAAATAAAATTAGCATAAGAACAACTTTTAGTTTTATTTAATCCTCTTTTTTTAGTTCATTGGTTGCTTGGTATTTGGCTGTATATTTTTGGGAAATTTTAGTGCGGTTTTAATTTGTGTTTATTTTTTTTTATTTTGGGTATGCTGTTAACTCCCCGTCAAGTTCATCAAACGCGTCTGATTAGGAGTCCGTCCGCCAGCCTGAGACTGGTTGCGGCTCTGTGCTCTCGTCTGTATGTCTGCCTTTGGGCTGATGTACATATGTATATGGTGTCTGGGGGGCTTTTGGGCAAGTCAGCTGCTGGCCTGGGCCTGGCCTGGCCTGGGCTCTGACCGGCTATGATCTGGTCATTTGAATGCCAAAGGCATCGCCCGTTTGCCGTTGGCTCTTTTTGGCTCTAAAAAGCAAATTTATGATGAGCGCGAACAACGAATTTATTACCAGCTACGGATCGACACCAAAAACCAGCGAAAAAGTGGCCCGGGCCAATGTGAAACTCTTTTTGGCTTAAATGTCAAACTAATTTAAACAAGAGGAGCCATTAAAACTGGATTAATTAAAGGCGCAACGGCAGCAGCCTCAGCTGCCACAGCAGCCACTGCTAAAAACCGAATGAATGTATTGATGGACAACAAATGGATCTCCAATCGATGCTCACCTTAAGGTAACTGAATGGCAGGGTTTCAATAGCGTAGCTAAGAGATTGATTAATGGATTGAGATATTGGTAGATATTGTAACTAATAATGATGGGTTTCAGGAGTGATAATCAAGGAGCATCTTAATAGAAATGTTTTAAACTTTATTAGCCACACATAATAAAGGTTTTTATTGGCTGAATAGCTGAGTGGCTTGCTGATTGAGTGACTACTGATAGACAGACACTTAAACTCGTTGACTAGACTTTCGGATGGAATGACTCATAAATAGACTTCTGATTCAAAGCTCAAAGAATATCAAATGGAATGCACTCACTGAATATCAGTGTAGATATATGAACTATTGATTGATTGGTTGTCTGACTTATTGACTACCGGACTAATCTAGCAACTAAGCCACTATTCAAATGGTTAACCAGTAGATGACTGATTATCTTTTATGGCGTCTTTCAGCCTCCATGCACGAGTATGTCTGCGTTGCCTTCTCGCCTTCCTGGCCGTGTAATTAGCACACTTTGCTTATATAATTACTTCAAATATTTTAATTAACAAGTGGCCACTATCAGGGCGTATGCGCAATGTCGCTTACCTGCTGCACTCCGTCAATTAAAGTCTTGTGTGAGTGTGCTCCACATCCACAAGTTCCCATACAGAAAACCGAACCGCAGCGAACTGCACTAAACCAAAAAGGAAAGGAAAGGTGTTGACCTTGTCAGACGGGCCAACACGCATCGCGTTTCAGGCCATGTCTGGGCCGCCAACTCTGAGGCGTTAACTCTCTCAGCTGGTTTTGCTCCCCCCCCAACCAATAGTCGTCGGAGAGCCCTTCACAAGAACTGAGTCTCTCAGAGTGAAAAAGTGAAAGTTACCGCCAGTTGCAAGAGTCATCCCTAAATTATTTCAAGTTCAAGGTTTTCTGGTCACTGGTATTTAAACATTTTTCACATCTGAAATGAATATATATTTCTTGAGTATATATACATACATACACAAATACATACAACCTGCATTTGTGCTAATTTCTTGACATTTACCGCTTTCGTTTCGGGGTTTTTGTTGTTGCCACACTTGATCGCTGAAATTATGTCCATAATTACGCTGATGTTAATCGATTTTTAAGTCGTTTTTCCCCCTCCAAAAACACAGTTTACTCTGGCTTTATTTTTATTTTATTTTTTTGAGCGGATTATATAACAAATATTTAACACCTTGCAGACAATGGAAGTCGGTTTTTTTTATGGTGCTGTATTGGGATTTGGATTACTGGTTCCCTTTCCCGTACAAAATTTGGAATTGCTTTTCAAATCCACTCGGTAAATTAAATCGAGTAGATGCCATACTACGGGTAATAGCCCGCTCGCCTGACCCTACCCTCGTCCCACCAGTTCAGTATTAATCAATAAAATATCAAGTTTTAATTTATTTCTTGCGAGTATGTATGTATGTATGTATTTTTATTGAGCGCCCTGTTACCAAGCCAAAGCCCAAAACGCTTGCATTCAAAATTACTTGGACTCGCACTAACTGCAGGTTATTATTATCTAGAGCATGAAATCCGAATGACTACCTGACTGGAGCTTAGCTCGGACTAGACAAGTGCTGGCCGGTGGCCAAGAGATTGTAATAATAACAAAATCTAAGAGTATTAGATCAAATCAGAGCCCGCTCAAGGCGCCATTTGATTGCACTGCCAGCAGATTAGGGAACGCTTTGAGGGTATTACTTGGGATTGGGTGCCGGTATCAAGGTGTTATATTGCTGGTGGAGCTTAAGAGGGTATTACTTTCGTGAGTGTTTTATCAAGGTGTTCCATTGAGATGTGTGATCGGGGATGGATGGGATAAGCTTTATTGGTTGCTCTCTCTTAGCGGATGTTGCCAGTTTATAGTACACTTGCACCCATTACACCCACTACCGCCGTGATAATTCCTTCCATTCCTTTCCTTTCTCCAAGCAGACACCCACATAATTCTGCCCAACACTTGCCCAATCCAATCCGAACCGTTTCCTTAACCAATTTGTCGGCTGCAGAGTACGAGTATTGCAATTTGCCTAAAAGACAATAACAACAACAACAACAACAACATCACTCGTGCTGCAGCAGTGGCGGCCAATGAAGTCAATTACTCAATTCCCCCTCCCCCATCCATTGGTATCAGAATGCGGCAGGGCGAAGAGAGGGGGTGTTCAGTGGACGGTGATGGCAAACAATTGCTACTTAAAGTTGAATTGGCGCTGACTGCAACTACAACTCTCTGTCTGCCTCTCTCTCTCTCTCTCTCTCTCTCTCTCTCTCTGTCTCTGTCTGTTTGTCCGCCCTCTTGGCTACTGCGCGCCACTTAAATTCCGACTTAAACTAATTTACTTGAGTACACACATACATACGCACACAGAGGCACAAGTAAGCTCACGTGCAGACAGGCTCCAACAGAGAGAGAGAGAGAGAGAGAGATAAAGCGGCACTAGTCCAAAGAGAGGCAGAGCGAGGGCCGACTGTCGTCAGCAGTTTGCGTTCGTTTCTTAAGTCGTTCGATTTTTGCCTGACACTAAACTGTTTCACTAAAGTGTTGATGTTCGTTGGTTTGGCTTTGGCTTGTACATATACCCTTCAGAAAGGGTATGAGCATTTTTGTACAAGGTGTTTGCAAGCTACAAAGATATTAATATATCATATAGCCAACCGCTTCTCTAGTGATACTCTTTCAAAAGTATTTTAATGTAGCTGTTGTAATTTTTGTTTTGAAGATGCTTTCAGGGTATCTCCCAAGACTACACATCCTTTCTGGTACTTGCTTGTTGACTTGTTGGTTTTTTCGTGGCTCTGGTGGTGTTTGCTGTTTGTTGTCGTTCGCCGCTTGTCGATTTTAAAGCCAAGTTTGTTTTGGGTCTTGTTTTTTTTTTCGGTTTTTTTTCGGATTTTGTTTTGTCGTTGTGTGTTGGTTTTGTTTTTCCTTTGCCATGTACGACGAGTGCGAGTAGTTGGGTCAGGTTGCAGATTCGAAAGTGGGTCAATTTATTACTGCAATGAATTGGTAACGCTCTGCTCTTGTGGTTGTTATTGTTGCTGCTATTGGTGCCTGCTTGGCCTGCAGGGTTTTTCTTTTTTGTTTTTCGCCTTTGCCTAAATTTAATTAACTGCAATCATTTGTGTTCGTGGCTGTGGGCGTGTCTCTCAATTAGCTGCAACAAATTTGAAAACATCTCAAAGGAGAAGATGAACAAGAAGATGAAGAAGAAGAAGGTCATATCTGGAGGCCTCGTGGGCCAGGAATAGCCACCATTTCGGATGGGGGAGGGTTAAATGTTAAGCCATGTATTCGGACAGACTCCCAAATGATGAGCCACACATTGCATAAGCCCCCACAGCCGCCAGCGCGCTGAAGGCAGCTGGAAAATGGAAAATGGCTAAAATGGTCGAGTGCAGGCCATAAATACGGCTCGGCCAAAGAGTGTTCAAGTGCCATGTGCAAGCCATTAGGGAAGACATGAACGCTGATGCCACTGCCACTGCGACTGCAATCTGTTTCTTTTGGTTAATGTCTTCGATTTCGGCTTTGGCTCGAATTTTATGTGTGAGAAATCCACATAAATGGGAGACTGTCT